CTTGTCTTCCAGGCCTATTAGATGATATTTAACGTTAATAAGCCAGCAAGCTATCATTTTATGCATTGTACATCCTTTAGTCCCTTTTCCCAGTCTCTCCTGTTGTGATGGTGACGTAATAGAGATATGAATATTGTCTGTCTTGATTTAAACTGAATGATTACTATTGTGCAGGCTTGCAAAGTTCAGAGTAGCATGTGGTCCAAAATAGGCCGACTCAAACGCTCTTTCATGCCTAAGCTTAAAGGAAACACTAATTTTGGGTCAGGAGCTACACCAGGACTCATGTCTTGTATTGCTGGAAGGCTCTTGTGTGATATTGATCTGTGTTCTCGTGAATTGTTGAAGCAGGTATGATGCCTAACTCTTGTAAGCAGTAAGTTGAAGCTCAGTCCCTCATGTATAAGCATCTGTTTCTTGCAGGTCAGTTATTCGTTAACGGACCTTTCAAAGACACAGCTGAACCGGGAGAGGAAAGAGATAGCGCCTAATGATATTCCCAAAATGTTTCAGTCATCCAAAACACTTGTGGAACTTGTAAGTTCTTCAATGAACTCGCTCATGTCTGTTTTACGCATGAGTTGGTACTACCACATTAGGGACCATAGGTTATGAATCCTTGCAAGCGAAACAATGTAGTGCATACTAGCGAAGAATGTTGGTGAGTGATGACTGCATCTTAATTGCTAGCATGTTATAACCTTTTGATTTTCTTTGGTTCAGATTGAATGTGGTGAAACGGATGCATGGCTATCCATGGAGCTCATGTTTCATCTAAGTGTTCTTCCTCTCACTCTCCAGCTTACTAACATAAGTGGCAATCTTTGGGGGAAAACACTTCAAGTAATGACTCTTCTCTCTCTCTCTCCCTCACTCTCCTCGGGAAGCTATGTGCTGCTGACTCATGCATTTTTTTGTTCATGACCAGGGAGCGAGGTCGCAGAGAATCGAATACTACTTACTACATACATTCCACTCGAAAAAGTACATTCTCCCAGACAAAATTTCACAACGTATGAAGGAAATAAAGTCATCAAAAAGAAGAATGAATTATGGTCCAGAGGACCGCAATGTAGAGGAATTGGATGCTGACCTGGCTTTGGAGAATGATCCGTCTAAGGGCAGCAAAACAAAAAAAGGTCCAGCCTATGCTGGTGGACTGGTCTTGGAGCCAAAGAGAGGCTTATATGACAAATATGTGTTGCTTCTGGATTTCAATAGTCTTTACCCTTCTATTATACAGGTTAGCAGATTGTTTTCTATTTCTCAATCCTTTGGTGGCTGTTTCCGTCTGCTTGGTAGATAACAGTCATGATATTTTCAGGAATACAATATCTGTTTTACGACTATACCACGATCAGAAGATGGAGTTCCTCGTTTACCTTCGAGTCAAACACCTGGAGTTCTTCCAAAGGTATAGTCATCATTACCCGAGTTGCATTTTACTGTGACTATGTTCGATTTCGTATAAATTCTCCTGTTATAGGTCTTCCAACATCAGATTTATAAATTACCCCAACCAATCAGAAAGAACGAAAAATCCAACAACCAAAAATAATATTTGCCTCATTTTCTTTTCCCAATCTCTCAGAACAATGCGACCTAGCTGGTCAGTATTGTATTAGTGACCGCTGCTTTCTGTAGTTCAAGAAAAACCAATCTTGACATCATCGTCTAAATTAATGCTATATGCATTTTTCTTTGCCACCAATTTAAGTTTCTCTTCTTTCTTGGCTGGTATTCCCAGTCTTATAGAGATTAGATCATGAATCCCACTATCTGTTTTTTGTTTTAGTTGATGGAACATTTGGTCAGTATAAGGAAAAGCGTCAAATTAAAGATGAAGAAGGAAACAGATCTCAAGTACTGGGAGCTTGACATTCGGCAGCACGCATTAAAGCTCACAGCTAATAGGTTTGCATTTATGGTTTTACACTTTAACTTGTGTCGGCAATAACCGCCAATCACCGCATTTTGATGTTTATGTTTTTTTATCCATTGTAAACACAGTATGTATGGATGTCTGGGGTTTCCTAATTCAAGATTCTATGCTAAGCCTTTAGCAGAGCTCATAACACTACAGGTAAGTGATTCTTTCTGTGTTTTCTAGTGACATGCTTTTCTTTTTTTTCTATTCTTCGTGTGATCAGGACAATTCCCTTAACATTGCAGGGAAGGGAGATCCTGCAACGAACTGTGGATCTTGTCCAGAACCATTTAAACCTAGAGGTACCTCTTATACTTTGCGTCTCAGGAAATGCATTTCAGGAGAGAAATTAGTGAAATGTGTCAACATCTCTGCTCTATCAAGTCTAGAATTAAACATTTCGCTTTTACATAGGTAATATACGGTGACACAGATTCAATCATGATTCACAGCGGACTAGATGATATCGAAGAGGTGAATGCCATTAAATCAAAAGTCATCCAAGAGGTAGGTTGGATAATAGATTTATCTCTTATATTGCTGTCCTTGGGGAGAGTGCTTTGAGAAAATTATAGATAATTTACCCAGTAAAAACCCAGACATTTGATTTTGGGCCTTCTCCTTTCAATTTTTAGGTCAATAAGAAGTATAGATGTCTAAAAATTGACTGTGATGGCATATACAAGAGAATGCTTCTTCTTCGAAAAAAGAAGTATGCTGCTGTCAAGTTGGAGTTTAAGGATGGGAAGCCTTGCGAGGTAATATTTATTATAAACATTTTTGCATTCTCTTTCTTCTAGAAAATTCTGGGTACTAGATGCATTCTCATTGCAGGACATTGAAAGAAAAGGTGTGGATATGGTTCGTCGAGATTGGAGCTTACTCTCTAAGGAAATAGGAGATTTATGCCTGAGTAAAATCTTGTATGGAGGGTATGTTTTGAAACATCCACTAAAGAGCATTGTTTTTACTCTCTCATGCAAGCACAACAAGCCTCTTCTTCTGTGCAGGTCGTGTGAGGATGTTGTTGAAGCAGTTCATAACGAACTAATGAAGGTAATCTTTGTTATCATTTATTAGTCTTCGTTAATTAGTTTGATCTTCTTTATCATCCAACACGTGTTGCTTTGTCCATGCAACAGATAAAAGAGGAAATGAGAAATGGGCAAGTTGCGCTTGAGAAGTATGTCATCACCAAGACATTGACTAAACCGCCTGCAGCTTATCCAGATTCCAAAAGCCAACCACACGTTCAAGTGAGAATGAGAGCTATTATTCACGTTATTTTTCCCTTAATATATTCACTTAACTTAAGTCTCTGATTGTGTGGCTAAACTATTCCTCTCAGGTTGCACTCAGAATGAGGCAACGTGGTTATAAAGAAGGTTTCAACGCTAAGGATACTGTACCGTATATAATCTGCTATGAACAGGTTCCCAACACAGAAAACCAGCTGGATATTATCAGATATCCTATAGTTTTTCTACTAAATCTTCTATGCTTCCTCTGTGCAGGGTAATGCTAGCTCTGCTAGTTCAGCAGGAATTGCCGAACGTGCTAGGCATCCTGATGAGGTGAAATCAGACGGCAGCAGATGGTTGGTTGATATAGATTACTACTTGGCACAACAGATTCATCCGGTGGTGTCTCGTCTATGCGCAGAAATTCAAGGAACAAGTCCTGAACGTCTAGCTGAGTGTTTAGGACTTGACCCATCAAAGGTAAAACAGCTTTCACTCAAGGTCTCAAGCCAATTTACGATTCATATTCAGTGATCATGAATTCATGATAACTGATTGGAAATAATGTTTTATTCTAGTACCGAAGCAAATCAAATGATGCTGCGAGCAGTGATCCTTCTACCTCCCTCTTATTTGCTGCAAGCGATGAAGAAAGGTAGTGATATCTTTCTCATTTGTAATTTGATATCATTATTTTCTCCACGAGTTTGCAATATTCCTAGAATTCAAGATCCGCAACAACGTATTTTGCATGTAAAAAATGCAGATATAAAAGCTGTGAGCCGTTAGCATTAACATGCCCCAGCTGCTCTACTGCTTTCAACTGTCCATCTATTACTAGTTCTGTTTGTGCGTCGATCAGTAAGAGACCTGCAACACCTGAAACAGTGGAATCTGATTCCACATTCTGGCTAAAACTGCATTGCCCGAAATGTCAGCAGGAAGATAGTACGGGAAGAATATCCCCTGCAATGATAGCTAACCAGGTAAGGCAAACTTTGTTGAAAAGGATCCTAATTTGTTAAGTTTCTCAGAATAAAAAATCTGTATCCTTGTGATTTGGCCTGCAGGACAGATGTTTTAGTTATTAACTCATTCTCATGCCTTTCAGGTGAAAAGTCAGATTGATGGATTTGTGTCAATGTACTACAAAGGCATAATGGTGGTACGTAAAACCTTCTCGCTTCGTTTTATTCTCATAATTCTGAACATTTGTCCTTAAAAACTTATGCTTATGTCGTTTTCTTGTACATTTTGCCTTCAACAGTGTGACGATGAGTCTTGCAAGCACACAACCCGCTCCCCCAACTTTCGCCTACTCGGTGAACGTGAACGGGGGACAGTTTGCCCAAACTATCCTAACTGTAACGGAACCCTGTTACGAAAGGTATATGCCCTCATCAACCTTATAACTCCTAACTTCTATGGCTTCACAGACTAACTCTCGACTTTGAGCCTTGTCTTCTTATTACAGTACACTGAAGCAGACTTGTACAAGCAACTGTCATACTTCTGCCACATCTTAGACACACAACACTCTCTAGAAAAGGTTTCTACTTTAGAACCTTCTTATATCGGTATTATGAATATCAATTTGTCTTGTCTATATCCCTAAAGTTATCGCTACCATTTGAAATAACAGATGGATGTTGGCATGAGAATTCAAGTAGAGAAAGCAATGACGAAGATAAGACCTGCGGTTGAGTCAGCAGCAGCCATCACTCGAAGTAATAGAGACCGGTGTGCTTATGGATGGCTGCAACTCACAGACATAGCCATTTGATAGTTGTAATAATCATCGCATGTAACTAAATTAGTCTTTTATATAATCTTCTTCAGACATCATTTTAATCAAACTACTAAGTTTTGTTCACTCCTAAAGCTTATTAGCATAACTATAACTGAACATTAAAATCTGGCCAATACTAGAACTCAAAAACATTTTTTGACTCCTGTGTTTGGCAGGTACTGGAGGAATTCTGACCAGTTTGACGCTGGATCATCATCATTGTCTGAATGTTATCTTCAAAGCAGAGTGGCTGTGGAAAAGCACATTTCTTGAGTTGCTTGAGGTGGTTCCAGTGAGCGAGGAGCAGCAAGAAGAGTCTCTAGGTTCAGGTCTTGCTCTAAGGTCTCATTGATCCTTGTATGAGTTGGAGGTAGAACCGGTGGTAATCGCATAGGGTTTAGGCCTAAACCATTCATAACGGCTAAAGTCTGCATCATGCAGTAAACTAAGTTAATGATCGTGTGATGTAATTTACAAATCAGACATTGATTGTATATGATCTAAATAAGTAATTAAAAACAAACCTGCACTTGAAGTTGAAGCTGCTTCAGATATTCAATAGCCTCATCAAGCATTGAAGCTTTATCAGTCTACAAAAACAAAAAAAATAACGAATCAATGAAAACAAACAATGTTTCTCACAATCTCTCTGAAACAAAGATTCAAAAATTTTGGTTAACCTTGTTGGAATTGGGTATGAGTTTCTGCAAAGCTTTCATTTTCTCGTTAATCTTGCTCCTCCTCCTCTGTAAAATTTCAGATTCTAGTTATTAAAAATCTGAAGGATATTCTTTCTAAATTTAGAGTCTTCATAGATTAAAGAGGAAACCTTTTCAGACAAATTGTGGAATTGTGCATCAATGGTTCTCTTCAACGAATTCCTCTGTTTAGCTCCATTTCTCTTTAGTGTTACCAAAACAAAACCAAAAAAGATTAGATTAACCGAACGAAGCGAGTGAAGTTCAACGGCAACTATACCTTATTTTCGAAAGCATATTTTTCTTGGGCGACTCCATAACCGGCGATAGAAACCGCTCCACCGGAAACGGAAGGGAAGAAGGTCTCAGCGGAGGAAACATTTCTCTTCGGTGGTGACGAAGGTTGAGCTGTCGGAGTACGAGAAAGAATTTGCCGGAGAAAGCTCGAGAGTTCGTCGGAAGAAGAAGGAGGAGGAAGACGATCACCGACGTCAGAATCACCCATCTCTCTCTCTACTCTTGTGTGTGTAAAAATTCTCGCTGTGGCTTGCCTTTTAGGTAGGCGGGGGAGGTAGGACGCGTGAGATCACGCACTTAGGAGAAGCGCGTGGGGATTCTAAAGAGGTGTATGGCGTGTCGAATCCCTATAGACAGAATCTGGTGTCTCACATCACTCTGTGTGTCAACAGTTCCATTAGTAGCCATTTGTATTTACTTCACAACTTTATACTTATATATCTATAAAAACTTAATAGATTTTTTACCCAATTAAAAAAAGAAGAAAAAAAAAACATTTTTCGACCACCAAGTAAAAAAGGATTTTATTTTATTTTATCAGTATGATGAAAATATTAATATAAAATCAGTAAATGAAACGGTTGAAAATAATGGTATTGATAAGATAGAGCATTGATAGACTATTTAATTATTATTATGACTAAACATGAAAAAGGACAATTACTTGAAAAGTAAGGTCTTGCAATAGTTTCACCATTTTTGACATATTACAAAAATCATTTTTTCCTTCTTTTTGTTTTGTTGTCCACAGGTAAAGTACTGTGAATAAACTGCATGCATTTCGAAAGATTATTTAACACAAAATAAAATTTCGATATTATAATGGTCAATACAAAGGCGAATAGGCGATAACATGTTCGTGATCATCAGCCTTTTTCTTTTTTGCATCCAAAGGGTAATAATGGTAATTAAAATAATAATGGTTCATAGCCAAAAAATAATAATGGTAATCAGAAATCAAGTCAAAATCCAACTTGACATCTAAATAAATGGAATCTTTCAAACTTGATAAAAAGGGAAATAATGGTAATTAAAATAATAATGGTTCATAGCAAAATAGTTCTAATGGTAATCAGAAAGCAAGTCAAAATCCAACTTGACATCTAAATAAATGGAATCTTTCCAACTTGATAAAACATTTAAACGACTTCTTGATTGCAAAGAGGACACATGTTCTTGACCATGAGCCACTTCTTGATGCACTCGAAGTGAAAGTCATGCCCACATCCCAGTTTCGAAACTTCTTCATTGTCCTCCAATTTCTCCTGACAGATCACACATATCTCCGTTTCATCGTCACTACGCTTTTCATACTTCCTTCTTCTTAGATTCTCATCAATGACTTCCACGGTTAAACCAGTGCCTACATTTCCTGCTTGTTCAGTGAGGTTCAATAGTTCCTAGAGAAAAAAAAAAAATTTACAACTCAACAAAGTGGTTCATATTTTACAACTCAACTCAGTGAGGTTCATATTTCCTGCTGGAGGAGCGTTTCTTCCTATACAATTTCAATGTCTATATTATATCCAAAAGTTCATACCTCTAAAAGAAAAACATTAGAAGATACTGAGTTTACAACTCAACAAAGTGGGAAAAACATTTATATTTATTACTTAGCTATAGTAATTCACTACTTTTATCTCACAAAAAATTTCTTTAGTTTCAATAAGAGAGTTAAATTAGTTGTAGTAGCGACATTCAATGTTTTCCCACGCAAACACCGGAAATTTAAAACCAAACAAAAAAGACGCGGGAAATGATTACGTAAATCTCACGGAATATCTAAATATCAAAACAAATCATTTTTTCTTCTTTCAAATGTGATGTAAACACTTACTAGTTTTCCAAGATATTTGCATATTGAAACTTATTCTAGTCTAGATATATCATTTATAATATACCTCGTATGTGAAGGTGTTTTCATGAGAATATACATTTGTATACTCTTCTTGTGGTGCTCTTTCAGATTGTTCATTGGTCAATGTCCGTAACCAGTTGGTCCAGTGCTGCTCGAGCGTTTCTAATTCCTATACAATTTCAACATTAGAAGATACCAAGTTCACAACTAAACAAAGTGGAGAAAACTTTTATATTTATTACTTAGCTAGTAATTTACTACTTTTATCTCACAAAAAATTTCTATAGTTTCAATAAGAAAGTTGAATTAGTTATAATAGCGATATTCAATGTTTTCCCACGCAAACACGAGAAATTTAAACCAAACAAAAAGACGCGGGAAATGATTGCGTAAATTTCACGGAATATCTAAATATAAAAAAATCATTATTTCTTCTTTCAAATGTGATGTAAACACTTTACTAGTTTTCCAAGATATTTGCATATTAAAACTTAATCTAGTCTAGATTTATCATTTATAATATACCTCATATGTGAAGGTGTCTTCATGAGAAGATACATTTGTATACTCTTCTTGTGATGCTGTTTCAGATTGTTCATTGGTCGATGACTGTAACCAAGAGGTCCAGGACTGCTCGACCGTTTCTTCCTATACAATTTCAATGTCTATATATTATATCCAAAAATTCATACCTCTAAAAGAAAAACATTAGAAGATATCAAGTTCACATCTAAACAAAGTGGGGAAAACTTTTATATTTATTACTTAGCTAGTAATTTACTACTTTTATCTCACAAAATATTTCTATAGTTTCAAGAAAAGAGTTGAATTAGTTGTAGTAGCGATATTCAATGTTTTAATTTCCCACGCAAACACTGGAAATTTAAGACCAAACAAAAAGACGCGGAAAAAGATTACGTAAATCTCACGAAATATCTAAATATAATAACAAATCAAAAACCATTTCTTTTTCTTTCAAATGTCAATAGTTTTTCATCTTATTTCCACAAATATTGTTTCATAAACTCTAAATATATTTTAATGATAAGATATTTGCATATCGAAACTTAATCTAGTGTAAGATATATACTATAGTATAGTAACTATACCTGGTATGTGAAGGTGTCTTCATGAGAATATACACTGGCATACTCTTCTTGTGATGCTGTTTCAGATTGTTCATTGATCGATGACTGTAAGAAGTACTGCTCAAACGAATCTTCCTAAACAATTTCAATGTTTATATTAATATCCAAAAATTCATACCTCTAAAAGACAGACATTAGAAGATACCAAGTTCACAACTAAACAAAGTGGGGAAAACTTTTATATTTATTACCTAGCTAGTAATTCACTTCTTTTATCTCACAAAAATTTTATATAGTTTCAATAAGAGAGTTGAATTAGTTGTAGTAGCGATATTCAATGTTTTAATTTCCCACGCAAACACCGGAAATTTAAGACCAAACAAAAAGACGCGGGAAATAATTACGTAAATCTCACGGAATATCTAAATATAATAACAAATCAAAAACCATTTCTTTTTCTTTCAAATATCAATAGTTTTTCATCTTATTTCCACAAATATTGTTTCATAAACTCTAAATATATTTTAATGGTAAGATATTTGCATATCGAAACTTAATCTAGTGTAAGATATATACTATAGTATAGTAACTACACCTGGTATGTGAAGGTGTCTTCATGAGAATACACACTTGCATACTCTTCTTGTGATGCTGTTTCAGATTGTTCATTGATCGATAACTGTAAGAAGTGCTGCTCGAACGAATCTTCTTCCTAAACAATTTCAATGTTTATATTATATCCAAAAGCTTTAGTATCCTCTCAAAGAAAACATTAGAAAATAGATAATTACCCAACTAACTGTCCTTATAAGTGAACCGGACTCTATCGTCGGACTATCACGGTTCACATCAACAGTTGGATCTGGTGAGATGGCATTAGCGTCAACTGTTGGGTAAGTGTCCCATAGATGCCAGTCGTCTCCAAATAGTAGCCAGATGAAGCTAAAAGGACTATCCGGTATGTCTCCGTTTTGATCCATGCTTTTGGAGAAAAAATATTACCTGAGACAAGTTTCTTGTAAGGTGCTAGATTAAGCTGTATTTATAAAGATAATTAACACTTTCAAGTTTCACCAATTAACTCTTCCATTCAAATGCAAATACTTGAGTGGCCAGGATAGTCTTAATATTGATAAAATATTAGAGGAAAAAGACGTTATCAACAAATAAAAACCACAAAATATTGTAGCTCAGTTAAAGGAAAAAAATATATACCAAATTAAGGTTTAAACGATAAATAATGCATATAACCACTTTTCAGTGCATCCATGGATACAAAGGATTTAGCTACTTTAAGGAAAAAAGGTTCATACCAAAAAGGTTTAAGGGTAAAAAAGACCACGATTTACAATTGTTTGGAGTCCAAAATTGTAAAAAATTCAATTAAAAAAATTATGACAGCTAATAAAACTGGAACTTTAGTTGGATTCGGATGATTTATTTGAAAATAAGGAGCCTGCTTTAATTATCACTCTAATACAATTGAAATGGTATTTTATAGAAAAATATCTCTTTCTTTATTGCATTGCATATCCTTCAATGGAAAAATATCATTTTATAGTGAATAAGTACTAGAAATAATAAATGTCGCTGTCACCAAAAAAGGAAGTAAATTTTATGTTTTGGCTTTATATATCTGCTTTCAACGTCATCAGAACGCTTTTTAAACCGGAGATACGCATGTTGTTTTCCTTAATTTGATACACAAGTAAGTTCACATGATGATTACATTATTTGGGTCTTGGGCTTTAAAATAGAGAGTTTGGGTCCAATTAATAGAAGCTCAGTAAAATTCGTTAATGGGCCTGGCGTTAGAGCAAGATACAGATACTGAGAGAATGAATTTACACAACGTCATAGTGTATCGTCCAAAGTTAAAACACATCAAGAGTATAATTATAGAAACTTAAAGTGTTAAATCACAAAGTTATTAAAAAAAAAAAACGAATATGATATGTCATTTGACCGTTAGAGATGTTATAAATGTATTCCATACGGTATAGACAAGCGTGATGTCATAAGTTTAATAGGTTATGGAAATCAATAATTCGATTGTCAAGACTCAAGAGTGTAACTAATTCGATATGTCTCTTGTTGATCAGTTGATGAAATAGGCATGGAGATAAATCTCGTTAAAAGAAATTTTCACCTAGACATTATATAGTATTGATCCACACATAGAGAGATGATTGAAATGTAACATTTTTCCTTGGAAGAAGCAAAGAGACAAGCAACAAGACAAGAGTGTCCCCACGCATGTGAGCACCGTTAACCATAATAGAAAAAGATACATCTAATACTAATACATACAGTAGGTGAAAAAATCTTAGCAAAATTTGAAGAATGAAAATATTGATTTGTGAAATAATATTATTAGAAATTTATGATAGACCACCTAACAACTAGAAGAAATAATATAAAACCATCATTGCTTATTTTGATAAACTCTTCCAAGATCACTGTTGTCTGTTTCCATAAAATCTTGACAAAAATGTCACCGTCGTATGTTTGGTGTACAAGACTAGAAACTGTAGTTATGCTATTATAATGTCACAACTGTATTTTGCTCTAAATTGAACTACTTTTGAAAGTGGGTTATCTTCTTTACTAATCCTTTCTTCATTTTCTCTCAGGAGGTGGGAAAAAGATTCAACCTTGTCTAAGTAAAGAAAAGCAAAGCTAATCTTTTTCTTTTGTTCCTCTCTCTCTTCAAGGATTAATTAACAAATCGATGAAGCCCCGGTTTTAGTACCTAATCATGTCTTTTGTCTTGTCTTAGAAAAACCCCCCAAGCAACAACAGTAGATCGAACATCATTTAGATTTCTCTCTCTCTTTCTCTCTGCATAAGCTAAGGAGCGATGTCGGCGTGCATCAATGGCTTATGCAGAGCCGTGACAGTCTCTCTTCTTCTTCTTTCTTTCTTTTTCTCTTTTTCCTCAGCTTGTTCTAATGGAAATTGCCAGGTTCTTGATTCTCTTAGCTTACTATTCTCTGGTTTGTGGCTATCAAATTGGGTCTAAATCTTTAGGGGTTTTGAATTTTTGTCTTTTTCAGCTGCTGGATTCATGCTCCTCGGCCACTGATTGTGTCCCTGGTTTATACTGTGGAGACTGTCCTGCCGTTGGAAGAAGTAAACCCGTCTGCACAAGAGGCCAAGCCACAATTCCAACTTCCATTGTAAGTTTTAGTTCCTATAATTAATTGGATCTTCTCTAGAGTTTCCATTTTGAATATAGTCAGATCATTTGGTTGTATCCAAAGTTTTGAACTTTGAAGATGGGTTTTGCTGAAAATTTCATTTTGTTTGTATTAAAAGATAGTGTAGATTATTTGGTTGTATCAAGAGTTTTGAACTTTGAAGATGTGTTTTGCTGAAGATTTGGTTAGTGATGAAATTTGTGTGTTTTTTTTTGTAGATCAATGGATTGCCTTTCAACAAGTATACATGGTTGATGACTCATAATGCCTTTAGCAATGCAAATGCACCACCGTTGCCAGGTGTTGAGAGGATTACATTTTACAATCAAGAAGATACTATTACTAATCAGCTACAAGTAATGTCCTTATTACCAACTCTCTTATTTTGGTTTCCTCTTTCTTGGGTAAAACTCTTGAATGTGTTTTTTTTTATTTGCTCTAGAATGGAGTTAGAGGGCTAATGCTGGATATGTATGACTTCAACAACGATATCTGGCTTTGCCATTCGCTTCGAGGGCAATGTTTCAACTTCACCGCTTTTGTAAGATTCATCTTCAGCTTAACTAATCACCTGTTTGGATCGAAAGCTTGAAACTTGATTGGATTGGTAAATGTGATCTTTGTTTTCCTTTTGAATCAGCAACCTGCAATTAACACACTGAGGGAAGTTGAGGCATTTCTGAGTCAGAACCCAGCAGAGATTGTTACCATTATAATTGAGGACTATGTGCACAGACCTAAAGGCTTATCAACTCTGTTTGCTAACGCTGGTTTGGACAAGTACTGGTTTCCTGTTTCGAAAATGCCAAGAAAGGGAGAAGATTGGCCTACTGTGACTGATATGGTGCAAGAGAATCACAGGCTCCTGGTTTTCACTTCTGTTGCTGCCAAAGAAGATGAAGAAGGCGTTGCTTATCAATGGAGATACATGGTTGAAAATGAATGTGAGTATTACAAAAAGTTTTAAATCTTTGTTATCGGAATGGTCTTGGAGAATAACCTTCTCTTGCCACTTTCCTATGATTGTGTATAGCTGGAGATCCCGGGGTGAAGCGAGGTTCTTGTCCTAACAGAAAAGAATCACAACCCTTAAATTCAAAAAGTTCATCGCTTTTCTTGATGAATTACTTCCCGACATATCCGGTTGAGAAAGACGCTTGCAAAGAGCACTCAGCTCCACTTGCTGAGATGGTTGGGACTTGTCTAAAGTCAGGAGGGAATAGAATGCCAAACTTTCTTGCTGTTAACTTCTACATGGTACTGAATCAATCATATAACGAAAATATGACAGCTTTTGCGAGATCTTGCTAAAAAACCATAATATTGCAGAGAAGTGATGGAGGCGGCGTTTTCGAAATTCTGGATAGAATGAATGGACCGGTACTTTGTGGTTGTGAAACTCTTGCTGCCTGCCAGGTAATAGCTTATTAACTCGCGCTAAAGTTACTTATGGATATGAAATAAGATCTGACAAGCCTAAATTATCTAAAACCCGCACCCGAATTTTGGTTCTTGATGTTGCAGCCAGGAGCAGCCTATGGTTCATGCAAAAATATTACTCTACAGACAAGAGCTCCAAACATGGATTCAACGGCTGGAAGCAACTCAGGTGGAAGCTACTCAGGTTCAGTTCAGTTCTCAAGATCCTTAGCTTCTGTTGTCTATCCACCAAACACTATTGTTGCCTTCTGCTTCTCATGGCTTCCATTCCTGATGTTTCTACTCTGACACAACCAATCAAACCACTTAGAAAGATTATTGGGTTAGAGAATCGTGATCACTTCTTTAGAACGAATGAGAGATCCTAAGTTCAGGAAACATGAATTCCCTTAGCAAGAGTTTCTGATATGATTCTTGAATTGTAGACTGCAGAGCATAGGCAGAAATATTGTGTATGTGTGTCTTCAGCTTCTGTTGAATGGTTGTAACTTATATATAAATATATATAGACACAATTCTACTTCAAAAGAAAGTTTACTGAATAATTTATATATGTTATTGATGAGAGAACACATAAGATATATGCAGATTCAATTTTATGAATTACTATGTACACAACAAACAGGACAAATGTTGAGCAACACTAGACAGCATGCAACAATGGTGGTGGATTTTGAGCATTGAGAAGCAATTCCATGGGTTTGATCTGAAGTGCAGGACTGATAGTAAGTAAAGCAATGAAGCAATCCACAGGAACTCTAGTTCCCCATAAGTTGATCGATTCGAGTTTTCTGCATTTGTTTACAAGAACAAGAAGGCCTCTCTCTGTCACATGACGGCAACACCACATCCCGATTGTCTGCATAAGGGATTCCGAGTGATTCTTCTAGTTCCAAATAGAAAAGTAGATGGATATATAGATTATTGTTGTTACCTTAAGATGATGGCAGCGTTCTGCAATAGCGAAGAGAGACTCATCGGTTATAAAGGTTCCTCCTATGTTTAGGTGTTGCAGTGAAGAAGTTCTTGAAATCTGTCAAATCAAAATCAAGATTCTCTGAAATGATAATAAACAAATCTTCAAGATTCCAAATCCAATTAAAACGACATTTAACATTACCAGTTGAACAACACCAGAATCAGTAATGGCGGTCATGCCCCATAAAGAAACAGAGTTTAAATTGGAAACACATCTTGCAGAAGCTATTTGGTAAAGACCATTATCAGTTATATGACAACCCCATCTGCTCCGAGATCTGCAGATATGAAAGAATAACAGAGTTTTTAGTTCTGTTCTGTATTTGACCAAGTCAATATCCTCTCTCAAACACCCTAAAGGTAAAGTTGGAAACTTGACCAGATATTTCAGACAAATCTTCACAAACCTACCAATGTTTCGACTCTCGATAGTGATCAAGATCCTCCATTGAAGGTCTTGATAGTCAAATCAAGATCCTCCATCGTGATCATAGAGAACAAGAAACAAACACAGAGGAAAGCAGAGAGAAAGAGAGATTACATGTCGAGTTCTTTGAGGTTGTAAGCAAGATGAACAAGACGAGAAGTGGAATCATCGTCCATTTTCCAACCAGCAAAGCTCAGAGATTCTCTTCTCGCCATCGATTGATTTACAGCTTTTCTCCATTTCTTGCAAACACCACTTGCCCTAAAACCCCCAAAATTCCACCAAAAAACTTCAATTCCACTCAAATTTTTAATTAATTCAAAGAAAAGAATCAAACTTTGCAACGATAATCAAAGAAAACACTTACTGCCCCAAAACGGTGAAAGAAGTGACCAATGAAAATATATAAGCCAGAAGGTCTAACGGTAATCGATCAATCGCTGCTTCTTCATCCATCACTTATATGAGTGTTAGAGCTTCTTGAAAACTTTTATGTATCAAGAAGTTTGTATATATCATTAGTTCTTCATAATTGCAGAGGAAGAAGATGTTGTCATTTTCATAGAACTGCAGAAGATGTGGTCATCGTTCCGTCATACTTTTTAATCGTTATAATTTTTTTTGAAATTAGTTTTTATATTGATTTAATTAATGTTTTTATTACACGGTCCAACATTTTGCGTGGGAAAAATACACTCTAGACTCGGTCTTTTTCTTTTGTACGCCACGTGGCACGTGCCACGGCCTACGGATCGTAATAAAATCTTTCTTTTCACTCAAAAATACATTATTTTTTGTGTTGATTCACACAAGTATTTAAATGTTAGTCAAATAACATACTCCTTTAATTACTTTAATGGTTAATTTGACGTTACGTATCTGTAATTTGTTTTCTCTTCTTACATTTGTACATTTCGTGTTCAATGTGTTTTTGGAAGAAGAACAAGATTTGTTAATTATTACTTATACATTAAAATACAAAAGTAAAGATTTTCTCAATTTTGCTGACAAAGATTCGTTTCACATCTTCAACTTTTTTCTTTCTTTATTCAAGACACAAAAAAGGTACATTTGATTTGGATGATTTTACTTATACAACACATACATGCTTCAAAAACTCTGCATCAGTCGATAATTTCTCCAAAACACTCGACGATAAACACGTTTGAAACTCGATGTTACCTTCTTCAATCCCCGGATAAGCAATGAGTTTACCATTGGTAGTATTTCCCGGTCCAGCTCGAACCGCAATTGGTTTACCCCAACCGAAATCGTTTCCATACACATTGAACCGTGGAGAGCTAGCAATTGTTATACAATTACTAAAAGCCTTAGCATTCAGTATACTCGGTTTCTTCACCCAATTCTCAGCAAACTCTCTAAACTCTTCATTCGTTTGTGACCCAACAGTTTTGTTTATTTGCAATGCAGCCCAACCAAGCCCATTGTTAAGCATCTCCGCGACCGTGGTCGTCACCGTCGCGAATCCAACCACGTTCCCGAAACACTCTTTCTCCAGCGGAGGGTTTAGTCTTCGTCTCATATCCACCAGTAACTTGCAATGAATCACTTCTTCCGGATTCAGACCACTGTTTCTAATTATCGATCGCCACATAAACGCTGAAACCCCTTGAAGTGACGAGATTTTCCGATCATCGGAACTAACCTCGCCGTTAGCTTTAGCTTTAAGCTCAGAGATGTTTCTACTCGTGACTCGAAAAATCTTCTCTTGTATTAACGATGAAGTAACAACAACCCGGTTCGGTGTCTCCGTCTCCGACATCGGAATTCGAATCGGATACTCAATCCCGTCGAGAAACCACCCACGGAGAAGCAAAGGAGGAAACTTTCTCCGATGATCGGAATCAAACCCGTTAAAGCAAATCTCCGACCAAGTATTGAAGAAACTCCAAAACGAAGATCCATCTGCAACCATATGATTATAACCAAACCCTATAAAAACTCCATCTTTCAATTCAGTTACTTGAAACGCAATTAACGAATCCGAGATCCCTTCATAGCTTGTAACACCATTCGCCGGATAAAAACGATTCAAGAACTCAGGAACATTACCGTCAACAGGTTCTAAAACATCACTAACCGAAACAGATTTAGCTGAAGCGTGGATAAATTTGACACCAGAGCCATCACAATCGACGTAAAACGACGCCGTTCCATCGTCTTCGTTCTTAATCTTGACTAGACGACCAGCGAATGGGTAGAAGATCTTCAACGCGACGGAAAGAGAGGATTTCAGTTGAGAGATTATACGGGTTTCCGGGTCGGGTTGAGGAAAGAGAAGACCTCTTTGTGGGTATTCGGCTCGAAGAAAGAAGAGATCCCATGGTGTGAGATGGATCTTAACCCGATCCGATTCCTCGCTGTAGCTCTCTGGTCGAACAATGCTATTAGAGATCACTATAACTTCAGCTCCCATTTTCTTTTCTCGAGGAGATGATGATAATTGATAAAATACGAATCCTCTACTGACTAGTGACTACTACACTAGTGGAGAGTGTATAATTGGTATTTATCTTCAGACTTTTTAAATCAAATTCGGACATGACATACCAAACTAGTGAACTACAACGTGTTTCACGTGATGCCACGTAGACGTTACCTGAGATGGGCTGGTTTTGATATTTATCGGGTTAAATAGGTAAGCCCATTAACTATCTATCTCTAGGCCCATTATCAACCTATAGTCCAAGTAAGTATTTTTACAGAGCTCGGCGGATTGCTGCTACTCCGGCGGCGAGTTATTCCGATTCCGGTCAGGTACGTATCCATTTTAAGAATCTCTAAATTCGTTGATATTAGCCGAATTGTTGATGGTGATGTTGTGAATCATACACGAAAGAATTGCATTAGGCTTATTGATTTGGTGAATCGATTCATTTGACCACAAGAGAGAATTAGTGTGCTTAGTTAAAATTCAATGTTGCTGAACCAAATCATTTTCATACAATGCATACATAGTCGTTAAATTCAACATCCTTCAATAATTTTTCCACTACTTGAGGCAGTAAACAAGCCTGAAAATCAAGACTTTCTTGATCGATTCCTCTGTAAACGACGAGCCTTCCATTGAGATACGGTGGTCCAGCTCTTGCAGCAATCGGTTTACCCCAACCGAAATCATTGCAATACACATCGAACCGGTGAGAGTTTGTGACAACTAAATCTTTGCTGCCGACAGAAACCGGAATCTTGATATTTTTCACCCAATTCTCTGCAAATTCTTTGGCTTTTTCATCAGTTTGTGACAGCTCCATGTTGTTGATTTCCATAGCAGCCCAGCCTAGTCCATGGTCCAGCAGCTCCCCGACTGTGACCGTGGCTATCCCGGTCTGGCTTACATTCCCAAAACACTCTTCTTCTAGCGGTGGATTGAGTCTTCCCCTCATGTTTATAGGTAACCTGCAATGAGTCTCTTCTTCTTGGCTCATGCCACTGTGTTTAACCATTGAACGCCATATATATGCTAACACCGCTTGAATTGAAGAGATCTTTTGATCAGCCTCGTCGTTGGCTTTAGCTTCCAGTTTCAAAACATTCTCTTTTGTAACATGAAACATCTTCTCTTGTAGATTGGTTGATGTTACATAACTAGTTGGTTTTGTTTCAGGGTCTGGAATAGGGATTGGATAATCTATCCTATCAAAGAACCAACCTTTGAGGTGAAGACAACGTTGGAAGGTTTCGGATCCCGAATCTTTCGAGCAAATCTCTGACCATGCATTGATGAACTTCCAGATTGAAGTGGCGTCAGCCACAGTAGAGTTATAACCGAAACCGATGAAAACCCCGTCCTTTATCTCGGTCACTTGAACCATAAGTAGAGATCTTGAGACACCGTGGTAGTTCTTGATCCCGGTCGCAGGGAAAAAGGAACCGAAAAATCCGGGGACAGAACCGGACAACTGAAGGACATCACTGAGCTCGATGTTTTTAGCCATGGCGTGAACAAACTCCACACCTGAACCATCGCAGCTGATGAAAAACGAGACGGTGTCGTCGTCGTTCGCTAGCTTCACTAGACGACCAGCTAAAGGATAGAAACGATCAAGTGCAACAGAGAGTGAAGCTTGTAATTGTTTGATGTCAATTTTGTGATCAGGTTTGGGAAAGAGAAGACCTCTTTGAAGATAACCAAAGCGAAGACGAGAGAGATCCCATGGAGTCAGATGAATCTTCTTCACAGAAGTCGGTTTCTTAACGTTTCTGGGAGTTACGATACTCTTCGAGATCACCACCAGTTCTTCTTCCATCGTTTTACCTTTTCTTAATCAGTGAGGTTTTGTCTTGGCTTACGTGAGGCTCGTGAGTTTCTTTAGCTCTCAAGTGCGTCCATATTGAAAGCACTTATTAATAGACCAAGATCCAAGAAACAAGTTACATCCTACTTTATGGTGTTTGTGACTTTGTGTGGCCCTGAGTTCATAATATGTTTTGTCATTTCGTGAAATTTCCACGTGTATAACAACAGACTTTAAGAATAGGTTAGGTGAGTGAATATGGAATCTCTATGATTCGTCATATTTATTTTTTAGCATGACTTTATCTTTTATTTTGTTAGAGTCATTAACAAAAAAGAAGAAAAAAATGACTTTATCTTTAGTTGATGTTGACGTACGAGTATAAAGTAGTGTAGAATTCGAAAGAGCGATAAATGGATCATTATCTCAGAGTTTTTTTTTTTTTTTTTTGATAAAAACCATTATCGAAGTTTAAACTGGTGTTACCGTTTACCAAAGATTTCAATAGTTAAAACATAGTTTTGATAATGTTACACACAGTAAAAAGTCACAAGACAAAACACATCAACCGTGTAAATTGTTGACCAAATCATGAAGCAATATCCACATACTCCAAGAACTCAGCATCCTTGATTAGGTTTACCACAACATCTCGAGGAAAACAAGCTTGAAATTCAAATCCTCCTTCTTCAACCCCTTGGAAAACCACAAGTTTCCCATCGCTAAATGGTGGTCCAGAACGTGAACCGATCGGTTTACCCCACCCGAAATCGTTTCCATACACATTGAACCGGGGACAGCTAGTAACAAGTAGATTGCCGCTAACCGCAACTGGAATCTCAACATTCTTAACCCAATTCTCTGCAAATGTTTTGGCGTTTTCATCGGTTTGTAACCTCACCATTTTGTTTATTTGCATAGCCAACCAACCCAGCCCATGGTCCAGCAGCTCCCCAACGTTAACTATAGCTATCCCTGTCTGAATCACATTCCCAAAACACTCTGCCTTTAGCTTTGTGTTTAGCCTTTCTCTCATATCAATTGGTACTCTACAATGTGTCTCTTCTTCTCTGCGCATGTCACTGTTTTTGACCCTTGAACGCCATATATGTCCTAAAACCGCTTGAAGGGAAGAGATCTTTCCATCTTCGATTCCAGCCTCGTTGTTGGGTTTCTCTTTCAGTTTCAAAACATTCTCCTTTGTAAGATGAAACACAATCTCTTGAAAAATGTTCGTTGTTGTTGTTGAAGCACCGTTACTAGATGGTTTTATTTCAGGATCTGGAATGTGGATTGGATACTCGATCGCATCGAGAAACCAACCTCGAAGAGACGAGGAAATTTCCATGGATTTGGATTCAGTATCAATCGAACAAATCTCTGACCATTTGTTGATAAACATCCATATCGATTTCCCGTCAGCAACGGTATGATTATAACCATAACTTAGAAAAATCCCATCTTTTAGCTCAGTTACTTGAACCATAAGTAAAGGGTTTGACACACCTTGGTAGTTCTTGAATCCGGTCGCAGGGAAGAATAAGGAACCGAATAAACCATCGACAAAACCGGACTTAACCAGATCACTAACCGTGATGGTTTTAGCTACGGCGTGATCAAATTTCACACCAAAACCACCTTCGCAGCTAATGAAAAACGAGACAGCGTTATCGTTTTCGTTGAAGTTCTTGACAAGACGACCAGCTAAAGGGTAGAAATGGTCGAGAGCAACAGAAAGTGAAGTTTTCAACTTTAGATAATTGTATCAATATTTGAATCTGGTTTGGGAAAGAAAAGACCTCTTTGAGGATAACAAAAACGAAGACGCGTGAGATCCCATGGGGTCAGATGGATTTTCTTCACACGATCTGATTGGTAAAGAGTTCTGGGATGAACAATGCTTGTTGATTTCACCACCACTAAGGGCTTGATTGGTTCTCCCGCTAGCACCCACCTAGCGGTTGTTAGCGGTCGGTTGCGGTTGTTAGCGGTTGATACCAATCACAGAAACCGCTCCACACCGCTTCGAACCGCTCGAAATCGCTGGATTTCAAAAGCTCATTCCCGCAAGCGTTTGCGGTTGCGGTTGGTTTAAAAAAGGAAAGAAACTAAAAAAAAAAAAAAATTAAAATATATATTATCATGTCTTATTTATATTCACGTTAATTATAAAAAAATAATTATTATCTAACTTTAATTTTCTAATATTAATGATTATTTTTGTTTTCATTAAAAAAATTTATTTGAATAATTAGTTATGGTTTTTAATCATTAATCATGTTTAAAAATTTTATACTTTTCATAATTATAGTTTCTGGTGTTTTATAATTTTTTATAATCATATATTAAATTTATTTTGGTAAATTTTGGTTTAACCGCTATCGTACCCGCTGATCAACCAGTCGTAAATCTCCCGCAAACGCACCCGTTTTCAACCGCTAAACCAGTCGGTCAAAACGCTAAATAACGCTTGAAACCGCAACCGTCCGCTTCCGCAAACTCTCACAACCGCAACCGCTGCGTTTAAACCAGTCAAGCCCTAAGTCTTCTTCCATTGCTTACCTTTCTTCTTTTCTTTAGATGTAGATTTTGATTTATTTGGTTCTTGATCTTCTTCATTTTTTATTTGTTAGTGTCACTTGCCAAATCTCTATTCACATGCTTGTTTATTGTATAAAAATGTTACGTGAGCCTCGTTTTTCTAAATAATACGGTGACATAGGGTTGAACGCACATGGCGTAAACACAAGCTGTCCTAACAAATAATACTCAATTCTATTATGCGTTAAGATTTAAGAATTTTAAATAGGGCTAATGGTAAATACTAAAATTTGGCATGTGGATATAAGTATTTGACCAAAAAAAAAAAAACATAAATTATCATAACTATCTACATATACATAAATTTAATAATACGTATTCATTAATAAAGTTTTAATCCAATGGTTTGATCAGAACGATTAATTCTCCAATGTGTATATTTTAAGAAGGGCCTAGTTTCGTAGCTTTATGGGCCAAAAGACCCATATTAATATTCAGTATTATCGGTTAAACACGTAACTCAAGGCCCAATAATCTCGTACATGGTTGTTCTTCATGTACCGGAGATTCGGCGGCGACGAAACGGTACTCATTGCGCCGCCGCAACTAACTAGCTTTCCTATTCCTTGTATCTGATTTTGATAATGGCGAAAACTAAGCAACAGAAATCTAAGCCTAAGAAACAACCGCATCAGGTTTCTTCATGATTCTCAACTTCAAATTATGATTTTTAAATTCCTCTGTTGCTGCTGCTTTGGTTCAAAGTTTTTCAACTCAGATTGCGTTTTCTGATTCAATCACTATTGATCTGTTTGAACCATTGTAAAAAAATTGTGTTGTTTGATTGATTCATAGGTGAAGAAGAAGCAAGGCAAGGATTGTGATCTCTCTCAATTTCGTGCTCAGCTTGACGCTTTAGGGCTTAAGATTATCCAAGTGACTTCAGACGGTAATTGTTTCTTCAGGTCTGTCTTTGCTTTGATCATCGAATTCGATTTGTGTTTTGAAGACAAAGCAAATGTGTTAGATTTGACTTGTGGATTCTCTTTCACAGAGCAATTGCTGATCAATTGGAAGGCAATGAGGAAGAACACAACAAGTACCGTAACATGATTGTACAATATATAGTGGTAAGTGTCATTTCATAAATATTATTAAGTCTAGATTTTTGGAAATCCTCCTTATATACTCAAATGGCTATTACAGAAAAATCGTGAAATGTTCGAGCCTTTTATCGAAGATGATGTTCCGTTTGAGGATTACTGTAAAACCATGGATGATGATGGAACTTGGGCTGGGAATATGGAATTACAGGCAGCTTCTCTTGTCACACGTAGTAATATATGTATTCACAGGGTAATACTAATGCCTCTTCTCATCATATGCTTCCTTTTAAGACATAAGTTTGTTTGAGCATTGGTCTATATGTTGCAGAACATGTCACCCCGTTGGTATATTCGCAATTTTGAAGATACACGAACCCGCATGATCCATCTGTAAGTATACTTGGTTCGGTTGATGATTCTTTTATCGGTTTGAATTTGCTTTTTACTGAATAATTCCTCTTTTAGGTCTTATCACGATGGGGAACACTACAACAGTGTGCGTTCGAAGGAAGATGCTTGTGGAGGACCAGCCAGGCCTGTTGTAATAGAGGTTTTACTTTAAACTTTAGCTCGTGTTTATCTGTAATACATAAATGGTCTGTTTCTCTGTCCTAATAAATTCCAGTTTTGTGGAAGGCTGATGCTAAAGTTTCAGCAGCATCTAAACAAGCCAAAGCCACAGAGAGCAAGTCGAAAAACAAAGCTGATAAGTGTAATGTGGATGCTGGGGCTATCAAAGTAGTCATGTCTGGTAGTTGTTGTGACAATGCTGAGAAAGCTGAACAGGTGATAATGCGATGCTTAGTTAATGTTTGAGAAAATATGATCATTAGTCCTCTCTTATCTGAAATCTCCCTTTTAGGTTTTAGTACAAGTAAACGGTGATGTAGATGCTGCGATAGAATTCCTGATAGCAGAGCAAGGAATGGATTTTTTGACTGAAAATGATTCAGAAATCGCTTCCGCAGCAGATAGCACAATTCCAATGGAAGCAAGTGATAGTTCAGTGGAAAGCACCGAGCAATCCAAAGAAGAATTGAATGAGAAGGAATCAGCTAGCTGCACTAACATTGAAACAGTCCATGCCAAGTGCAGATCACAGACCGATGATAAGGTTTATTGGCTCACTTAAACCATGAGATAGCATCTTTCCTTCTGATTGCGTAAAAATGTGATCTGAATATGAAAGGATTCTGTGAAAACTGCAGAAGATCCCGAGGAATAAAACATGTCCATGTGGTTCAAAGAAGAAATACAAGTCTTGCTGTGGAACAGCAACTGGGAGATCCTCTGTAAAATTGGTAGTGTAAGTTTCTTAAAACGATTCTACAAAACACTCAAAACAGGACTTAGCTAAAGATGAGTGCTTCTTGATTAATTTGCAGGAGCCAAACAACGGAGTCGAAGAAGGGGAGAAAGAATTTGAGGAGAGGAACATCGAATGAAGTTGAAGCAAATGTACCAGATGTTGGTGCTCTCTGTATATAATTAAGTCTCACTCACTCAAGGTGATCACATTTTCACTTAACTCATTCAAACCAAATTCTTTTGTCTGTTAAGCCAAAACATTGGTTACTAAATCCGTTTGGTTTCTCTCTATTTCAGGTGATCTTTTTAAGGATTCACTGCAAATTTTTCACATAACAGATTCCTCAGGTATGTGATTAGTATGAATTCCGAGTTAGGATCACTCGGGAATATACCTTTTTTGTTGTCTGATTAGATTAACAGAAAGAAAAAAAAAACTCTTATATAGTACTCAAGAACATATATGTATTACAGAGCCCAAAAATAGCTCGAGAAATAACTCAAATTCTTTAAAGCATATCTTGATTAACACTAGCTCAGATAATGATGGTGATGATGATGATGAAGAATCAGGGACGAGAGAAGTGGAAGGTGTGAGGAATACGGTAAGGGGAAGGTTGAGGAGAGAATCCTGATGATGCTGCCATTCCCACTCGATTTCCTCCACCGTCCGATTGCTTTTCCGATCTGACAGTCGTCGTCATCATTGCTAACGATAGATCTCTCCCTAATAATCTCTCCTCATCTCTAATCCTATTTCTTATGCTCGCAATCTTTAAAATATCATTGAAATCATTATCACCATTTTAATTATTTTCCGACAAAACCAATATATATACAAACATGAACACTTACATCAGACTTGAGTCCAAACTCTTCCGAGTTTGATTCTCCTAGACTTAGATCAAGATTATGACCATTCCTCGTCGTCTCTGCTGATTTTTACCATAGATTTGGTGACTGGAGTAGTAAATTTGTGTTTTCGTAAGGCTAAAAAAAAGGTAAAAATAAATTTACCTGGGCTAAGCTCTTCCTCGTATACTTTAGGGTCAAAATTGGTAACAGCGTCTTTCCCATTACACTTTATTGCCGCTTTATCATAAGCTCTATATTCAAATTTCACGAATAAAGTTTTTAATATTTCGTACCAAAGAAAAAAGTAAATATTTATTTGATGATGAGACAGTGAACAATAAAACACAGTACCTAGCAGCTTCAATCTCGGTATCAAAGAGACCCAAATAAACGTACCTGAAAAGAAAAGAAGCAAACAGGACACTTCAAATTAGTAAGAAACAGACCCAAATTTAATATTTGCACCAAAAGTTTTTAAGTAATTATACTTTTTGTTGAGAAATTGACCCAAACGAGACTCCCATCTTCCACATTTGTGCAAAGTAACACCTCTGTATTTAGAACTGCCTCTTGGAAACCCAGTGCTCTGCCTTCTAAGAACATGCATAAACTCTTCCTTGGTCAAATTGCCCATCTGCAAAAAAAGAAACAATATTTAGCTGTGTTTTCTTCTGAGTAGCAATTAAATTACTATGACCCAAAGTAGATATATCTATAAAATAATATAGAACCTGTTTCAAATCGTCCACGTAGTCTTCAATGTCGAAATTAATATCTGCATCTACACCTCTGAATTTAATCGCCGCTCGATCATAGGCTCTGTCTCAAATAGTTATTGACCCAGATTAATTCTATAACCAAAAAAATTTATGAACAAAAAAAAGAAAGAGTGTACTAATGGTATTAGTTTCTTGCTAATTGATAGATAATTGGATTGAGGAAAATATACCGAGCAGCAGCATGTGCGGTGTCAAATCCACCTGCATATGTAACAACAATTAGAAAGAAACAAAAACCTTTGTTTTTGTCAAACATATCGAAGGCACAAAAGTAAATTCGTAATTAGTTTCTACATGAACCATACCTAAGTACACTTGCTTCCCACAGTCCCTGCATAATATTATTCCAAAACATTTTATGAAAAATAATTCAAATGATAACATATATTTGATGGATTATAGTATACTATATGGTTTTAAAAATATCATATGATTTACCAAATATGTGACTCCCATCTTCCGGTTCGTCGGTAAAACGTAACTCCTCGATACTGAGAGCTACGTGAGCGAGGACCACGTCGGCTCTTCTTTATCGGCGGTGATATCTCCGGCTCCGCCTCTTCTGGTCGACCCGACCCGCTCGGATCCGACTTACCGACACTATTGAAACCGGAGCAACGAACTCCCGGTTCCATGCTTCGAGCCGGAAAGAAATTCCGGGTCACCGGAAGCACAGACGGTAGCCACGTGACAGATTGACTCGTCCCGTATGACACGTGTCCGACCGGATTCCCTCTACTGTCGGATTCTTCGTGATGATCGGGTGAGTCGTTAAGGTTCCACATTATTTGTTTAAGTAAAGTGGAAAAAATAAGAAACTTGGGAGAGAAATAAGAGAGAAGAAGAGTCTCAGATGAGAATAACCATCAAAGAAATAAGGTAGGTTCTAAATAAATAAATAAATTATGAGGAACCATATGAATAAAAATTATTTAGTAGAAAAAATATCTGACTCTATTCATCATTATTTAGAGAGGCCTAGAGAGGTGCAGGACTTTTATCAATGAAAGGAGTAAAAGAAAAAAAAAAAAAGTTTATGAAGAAATCAATTTTGAAATTTGATTCTTTCCCAATACAAGTGTATTAGACTGTCTCCTAGTTTTTGGTCTCCTTAGTATTGACATCACATTTTTCTTTTATATAAAAAGGGAAAGTAAATTCACAAATTCAAAAGTTTGCTGAAATTATTATGGACTAAAATGTAGGATGTAGATGGGAGTATCTTATTTAATTTATTGACCTATTTAATTTCTCCTACTCCAACTACTCGAAATTTATCATTTTAGGACTATCAATTTATATCTATCCTTCTCCCAAAACAAATTGGCACATCAATTCAGCTGCATATGATTAATTAAAACAACAATAAAATCATTGTTGTTATCTAAAAACAATATTATATATAAATGTTTAGTGGAGTGAAAATTTGGTAATGTAGATTCCTATATATTTGTTGATTAATAGGAGAGACAGAAAATTACAAATATTTAAAAACGAAAAAAATAGGATGAACAAATCCGTGAAAAAGAGTTTGGTAGGAGAAAAAAGGAAACGGAAATAATGTGATGGGAAAAATAAAAACAAAGGAGGTATTACCGAAAATGCCCCCATCCAAGAGTACGGGAAACAGCTTTTTCTCTCTTTCCCTGCATTTCTCCATTGCTTTGCTTACAACTTCACTCTCTTATTTTCCGCGCGTGTCTCACGCTCCCTTTCACATTTTGATATTTTATCCTTATTTTCACATTTAACTACTTATGATATTTTATCTCAAAAACTAATAATATTACATCAACTCTGATGAATTTTAAAATGTATTCGACATATAATTTTTTTGGGATTTCTCGCATATAGGATTTTATTTTAACGTCTCTACGGTTTATGTTTTCATATAGCAAAAATCCCCCCCATATCGTTGAGTATTGTTTTATTTGAGTACTATTTGGTTTCCCCAAATTCAATTGTTTGAAATCAACAATGAAATTATCGCAACCGTTGGTTATCGTTTCCAAAGAGATAATCATACCTCTTGCTAATCATTCATCATGCAACTATTGTTTTAATTACATGACTATTTGTTACCTTTTTAATGATGTTAACAACAGGATCTTGATATTGATATAGTTATGCTTATTTTTATATATCTGTTGTAATGGATCATTTTCTTTTTAGAATCGTACTTGCTTCGATATACTTACATGTTTCTCTTGAAGACAAGTTCAAGTTTAAAAAATAGTGTCTGCCGACCCAAAAAAAAAGGGACTATAAATCTCTATGTATGGAATTATTGACACAGATTTTTATGTATTCTTTAAATTTTTTTAAAACGCATATTTCTAAATACGTGTTTAGTAGTTACTAAAGCAAAGAATAGGTGTGGGTAAAAGGAGATCCAAAGCGTGAAAGAAGAATATTACAAGTGGGGGAGAAAAAGCCAAACCTTCCCCTAATAGAACTATGACGATGCTTTGATGCTCTCTGTTTCTTTCCCTAAGTAGTAATTATAAAAACTCTCTCTCCCTCTTTCTCTCTACGCATATATCGATTCCATAATGGCAATCTTAGCCCCACATTTGTCTCGCTAACAAATCATATCGGATATCGTTTTTCTTTTCGATTGTAGATAGCTTTTTCCCTATCATGGAATCCAACCAATTTGAAGATGCCACGAGAAGAGATATTGTTACCAAATAATAATCATTGATTAGCATGTACAATGTATTTGCATTCAATAACAAATCTAGGATACATGTGTATATTCAATATTTATGGTGGATATATCATATATTATTGGTTTATAAATTCATCAGAGAGTTGGAAAATCATGATTCAAGTCATTTTACTGCGAGTTAACTATAATCCAAAAATTAGCTATTAGATTTTCAAGTCAGAATGTTTTAGTTTAAAAAAAAAAAAAAAACAGCTGTAGTTTAATTTGGCAGAAAATATTCTTGTAGAATTTTTGTTTTTAAATTTGAGTTGGTTTGGAAAATATGGGTCGCTTCTTCACATATTATCAAAATCCAATTCGAACTTCCAAAAACTATGGACCGAAAGACTCAGATTAAACGAGTAACACGCGTATCAATTTGAGTAACGACGTTTTTAGTTAGAAGATTTGTGCTTGTCCACATCTTATCATATGATCTATAATTTTTTGACTAAACAACGTAATTATATTTAAAATGAATTAAACTAATCTGGATTTAAAGATTTTTTTGTACAGTAAAAGTTATGTACATGATAAACGTGGCTTGTATGAAACATTTCACTATAATTAGAAAATTTAATTAAAATATTGAGAGACACACAACACCAAAAGTGTGTCGGCACAATCATCTCAAACTAGAAAATCTATTGTTTATTACTATAATATATGTTTTTCTCATACAAATACGATGACAGCTTGGAAACATCGGACGGTGTCGATAAAATCATCCTCGTACTGTCGGTGAATCTAGACAGTTGAAATTTGTGGGCTCCACTTTTCATTAAGATCACGGAAGCTCGATCTCTCCGCTACTCACGTGACTCACGTGAATAAAAAAAACATGTTACGTATCTACCTGTTTCAAATTTACAAGTACTAAACTCATCATAATAATGTCTTTTATATATCACTGTAGTTGATTGTTGTGTATATAATATGTAATGTATAATTGCATAAATTCTAGGAGCAGGATTAGAAGATTTCTATATATAGTACAATCTTTTGATAATCTCCTTAATCGCTTAAATAAAATAAATACGACTCCGGGCATCGTCATCTAGAAGCTAGTGATGGTGAGCACTTTGTCTCGAATATTCAAGAAACTGATGGGTGCACTAAAGCCGATATATTTATATTCATATTCGAGAAACTTTCTATAAATAATTTGTTTCTTTTATTTATTCGACCAATGCATCCAACTCAGTTTCCAAGTAGTACATACCACAATGGTATAAGGCATCGCGCTAGAAATCGACATATATAAGGAAACAGAAAAATCAAACTTGTACAATATCAATAAGAGCATATGAATATATGTGTATATCTATATCTTGATATTTTGAAATCATTTATTACAAAAATCAGCTTTACTTTTCAGTTCTTGCACGACGATGATCGCACCTTCGTTTTGTCCCCCATCTATATAAAACTCACAATGTCTCATGGGCCAAACTACTGGGCTTTACCAAATGAGATGAGGCTTTAACTACTGGGCTTTACCAAATGAGATGAGGCTTTAACACTGTTATTTTCAAGTTCAATCAGTAGTTTCAGCCTTATTGTAAAAGCCCATTTATTGTGCCTGCTGTTATGTACGGCTCGTCATTAATCCTGATTTTGATTAATTTAAATGAACTCATTTGTTTATCAATAAAAACAAAACTACAAGAAGTTAATTAATTTAAATATATAGTTCCCTTTTATGAACCAGACTGGAGCAGACATTCGCATGCCCTATAATTAGGCCATTACCATGCAAATTTTGAACTCTTTTGATTTGATTGTGGTTTCTAATGTCTTAACAATTATTTAGAAAACTCCATCGAGATAATGACAACGGGAAACAAGGATCAGACAGGAGGTTTGGGGAAGATGGGGACTTGGGTCAATGATTTTAAATCTCATCAATCGAACCGTGTATATTGAATTGGCCTTGGTCAGAGTAGATACGTGCTATATATTTGATAAAGTTTACTAACAGAAGAAAAAAGTGAAGGCCGATCAAATATCAAATCAAAGCTCTCCTTTGCCAATCTCGTCTTGGACTTATCCACCTGTACTCTTTCTTATTTTGGTATCTTCGCATTTTTCTTTCCTTTTTTTAATAATAACAAAGTTAAAACACAAACACTAAAAATTACTATAATATAATCCACGACAGAGAATAATGATTTTTTTTTGTTTTCCCCCACGAAAAGCCTTTGCATACTTATCACAAGAAAATGGAAAATGCGCCGACAACAAAATAAAGAATGACGAAATACAGTAGATAATATGATAATACATACAACTTAATTTGCTTTGGCCAAACCAAGTGTTCTTGGTCTAGTGGTTGCCACTTGTGGAGGAGTTGCCCTGTTGGTCTAGGCCAGGGATCGATTCCCCGCAAGCGCGCAATTGTTAGATCTCCACTTGCCCACATGGATATGGGCCCTTGCTTTCGGCCCATTTGCATACCCGGAGAGAGAGTCTATCTGTGGGCTGTACCTCCTCCAGGGGATTAGTCTGGGCTCCTCCATAGGTCTGGGATTCCCCTGAGTTATAAATAAAAAAAAAAAAAAAAAAAAAAAAAAAAAAAAAAAAAAAAAAAAAAAAAATTGCTTTGGCCCCTATGACATATAAATAATAAAAGATATTATAAAACGCATGGTGAAAGGAAACTTTCAAGCTCCGATATATAAATGTACGTAACAAAAGTTTATTAAAAACATACAGCATCTCAAAATAAAAGCAACAATAATTAATTTGTAATAATAGAACTGAAAAAGATGGAGCATATAAAATCTAAATGGTACCCACAGAAGACAGAACAAATGGAAATGGAGCAGAAGACAAAAACAAAACACCCCCAAAGTCCCCGACGACTCAAAATCTTATCCATATTAATATATTATACATTACTATGTACTATATATAATTAACAACTTTATGAATTAGATGAAAAACAAAAAAATATGGACGTAATTAATAGAGATATACAATGTCAAGTTGCTTTTATATGATATGCATGTAGGTCATCCTTTGTCCCATTATTATTATTCAACTTGATATCCCATCCCTTCGATTTAATCTTCCTAACAATCCCCTGAAAATTTCAAAAATAAGAATATGGCATTTTAATCCCCTGAAAATCTAACTAAGTTATATAAAGATTTCTTTTTAAGAAAGGAATTTTTATCGATTTACAACCAAAAAAATATTGTGCTAATTTTGGAAACAAGTAATTTTTATGGTATTTAGGGTTACTCTTTAAAGTTTAAACACTAGATAGTAACCAAAAGTAAAGAAGAGAAGTTAATGATAAGAAATAGGACGGATTTTCCATTAATGAGTAGAGTAATATACATTTTGCATTCTTTAAGCAATAGCCTAAAATCCCATAAACCGCAAAACCCGCAATAAAGGAAAAAAAACAACAAAACAAAAATTAATAACTAAAAAGCCCTAAAATTTCAGATAATGAAAAAAAAAAAAAAATTATAAACGGCGCTAATGATTCGTAGAAGCAAGCCGTTGGCGTACGTTAGCAACAGCCACCGCCAAAATATATTTTTAATGTTTGCTTTCCCATTCTTCATCGGAGCTTTCCGGGTCGGGTAATTTATTCAAGTCAACCCGATCCAGCAACCGGCCGCCACTCTTCAATCTCTTGTCATCCTCATCCTCATCTTCTTCTTCTTCTTCTCTCTCACCGTTTTGATAATTCCGATGAAAATTCTTATTATCATCATCACTATCACGATTCTGACCAAAAACACGGTGGCGGTTATTTTGTACCGCCGTGCCTAAAGCATCAACCTGAGCACCGACCTCCGTCGCTTTTTTCCTGATCGTAGCAGCCGACATATCCTCGTCGGAGAATTTCTCTCCAGGAAGAAGCTCAGGGAAGTTAAGCCTCGCCGTAGGTCCTCTAAGATAGAAAACGGCCGTGTCGTAAGCTCGCGCCGCCGCCTCCGGAGTAGAGTAAGAGCCAAGCCATAACCTAGACCGTTTGTTTGGCTCTCGAATCTCCGCGACCCACTTTCCCCACTTCCTCATCCTTATTCCTTTGTAAGGTCTCTCTCTCTTCCTCGTACCGGCGACTGCCACGTCAGCTACTCCGCCGCCGTCCATGGAGGATCTAAACCCTCCAAAGAGAAAGACTTTCGAGATGGGTTTTGAGAGAAATTTGGATCGAGAGAGAGACAGAGAATAAATATGTCGGAGCAGGAGAGAGAGGAGGAGGGAGCTTGCAGGTGGTATTATGATGATGGAGAAGGAGAAAAATCCAAAATCACCGACAAGAGAAAAAAGTAAGAGAGGAGAGAATTTAGGTTAGTTGGATTTAGAAGATAAACTTGTCATGGTGGTGTGGATTTGTTTTCGAGTTATAACAAGTTTTCTTTTTCCTTTTTAAAATAAAAATCTGTTTCGTTCGAAATTATCAGTTTAAAATATATAAAGAAATAAATATTGGGGCGATGATGAAAGCTGTATCTTCTGTGATGATTTCTAATTTTTAATGGAACAGAAACCTTTTAAGAGGATAGGCGGAAGAAGAGGTGGTGGAGATGACATGCGCATACATAAAATACTATTATTTTAAAATAATCAAAAATATATTCTACTATCCATATGTATTATAGTACCCAAACCTCTGTGTGTTTCTATTTTTAAATAGTTTCCCTACGAATATATACCCCTTCGATATATATATTTTCTATTTGTACATACCAAATTATTAGTAACCAAATTCTAATACATTTATACAAAAGATACCTGAACTCTTTGTCCAGATAGACAAAGTAAGCTAAAGATAGAGATATCAGTTATAATCATAGCCAAACTCTTGTAGATTAATAACTAAAATCATACATCCTATGTAAATAATAGCATTCATATTGCATGGTGAAAACTTTACAAACGGTCTTTATCAAATAAACTAAACAAAAAATAATAATTCTATAGACGGTGAGTCATACATGAACACCATTTTGGCTAGTACAATTTTTAGAGTAGCTAGAAGACTTTCTGATTTTTTCATTCCTTACTTCAACATTTATATATAGGATTGGACCTTTAAACTTATATTTTTTTAATAGTACTAATAGTGAATAAATTCGATTTTTAAATCAAATAAAAACACCATAAAGGATTTTATGAACCCATAATAGATAATTATATATTTGTTTTGTTGAAATGTGTAATTTATTAATCAAAATAAATTATATTCCTATGTAATTAGTAATCTCATCCATGCCATGAGTTTTTTTTGGATCTATTACCATTTTTTGTAATTTTCAACAAAGAAAACTGAAAATTATTTCGTTCCTTTTGATTTAGTTGGTGTCTTGGCGAAATCAAAAAGATTTTATAGAACAGAGAAAAAAGTATAATAGAATAAAAGTTAAGATTGTTAAACGGCATACGGTATTATACTGTCCATACGGGTACAGTACAGTAAAACGGTATAGGATTAGGGCATCATCAATGGAGGATCATGTGAGGGTGTTCTTATAGAGAATATAATGTTAAAATAATGTAAGATCATGTGTTTAGATCTTTTGTTTAGAAGTTGATTAGTGGGAGAACATGTGTAAGATCTTAAGACTTAATAATATAATAATCTAAATTAAATTAAGATTTTACAATTATTAAAACATTTAAAAATAACATATAAATTGCAAATGCCAAATTTATGAAAAACTGAAAATAAAAGTGAAAATACAATACTAAATATTTATGAAAAAAACATTAAAAATATAAATAACAATAAACAAACAAACATATTACTTAATAAAAGCACAAAAACATTTTATCTAATTAATACATAGTTTATTATCCAAATTTATTCCAAATATGTTGAATATTCCAACCAATGCCCAAATGCCACGTCACCCCGCAACACCCACAAGAACAGATCCAGGTCAAGAGCCCAGTTCCTGATCTTAAGCCCATTAACCCATTTTTTTGGATTTAAATAATGCTTAGATCAGGGGGGGTGATCCCCCAATGCAGATGGAGGAAGGAAGGTAGGTCGGTGGTCGGTGGCTGGATATATACCGTTAGGAATTGACTTTATGTGTACTCAAATTACGACACGTATTGTGTTTTGTCCTTTTTGTCCCTTTGATTCCATTCCCCCTCCCGTTTTGTTCACTTCACTTTTTTGTCCTCTTTCCCATTTTCTCTTGTCCTCTGATTTGTATTCCCAGGGAGAATTTCGGTATCTATTTTCTATTTGAACCCACTTACGCTCCATCATCATATTTTATTTGTTTATCAACCAATCAAGTATTTGGGAAATCAAAAAAAAAATATAATTATAAAACAAGTAAAATTATAAAACAATAAAATTGTTTCCCAACCAATATTAACTACAACGACAAACCAATAATATGATCAACACAATAATAATAACAATAAGCGTAGATAATAGACACAAATTAATTGGTATTACTAAAAATTTGAATCTTATTATATACAGCAGGTGGGAGATTGATTATGATTATAAATATGTCAATCAGCGAAAGAACCGATCTTTCAATAATTGTTTTATGTTATTTTCAGGAGTGTTGAGTTGTATTTTCTTCATTAAGAATTGATTTGGATAATGATCTTTATTCTTATAAAATGGATTAGCTACAGCATATATATGATGATCTAACTATAATTCTTTTATTATACTAGTAAGTTGAACCATATTTTATGATGTTGCTGCTCTCTTGACTTGTTTTCTTCACGATTTCAATAATATGCTTCTGATGTGAACCCATCTACTATATACCTCCATAAGTCATATTCTTCTTAATGGACTTTTTTTTTTGTCTTCAAAAATTTGTTAGGTGGTCCTTAATTATATATATACACGTCTGATTATATATCGTAAGTTATTCCGATTTTATTTTAACGTTATTATAAACTGTATTGGAGCCAACAAGGAATAATTACAATATTTAACGATTTTTAGTTGCAATTTTATGTTCCTTTCATATTTATTTTAAGATCATTTGGGAATCGTTACACGCAAAAGAATTTTTTTATAATATCGAAATTACTATAGAAAAAACTGTGGGGTATGAGTTGAGTGATATTTGGATTGTTCCCACGACTTTGGTTTAAACTTTTTATCTTAATAATACAAGAAGAACTACAAAATAAATAATTTCAGTAGAGAAATAGTATGAGATTTTAATAATGAAACTTTTAGCTGTGACCCAGTTGGCACGTGAACATGGTGCCAATTACCGCGGAAAAGCAAAATATCATTACATTTTATAGAAATTGGACCACTTTGTTACATGTTTCTTTTTCAAAATATGGGGTTGTCATTTGTTTAAATATCGTTTTTGTTTTATACCATTGTTATTATATGTGTTTATAACATAAATGAATACAACAGAATCAGTCCAATACCATTTCATAAATTATCATAGATGATCTTTTAGTTGAATCAATATAACACACCAACCGATACAATAGATTGTGGCAGATCTTATTAGAAAAAAAGATTCAAATTCACACGAACAACGATGTTATAAAATCCGTATGCTTAGCAGCTTTGGTAACGAACCGGCGAAAATTTATTGATCTCTCTAAATCGGTAGGAGTCGAAAAAACAAATCTTCCTAAATATTTTCGAAATTAACAATGCAACGAGGCGGCTTATTATCTGGAAGTTCTAAATTTCTAGTGGGATAAGAAATCAAGTCAACAGTGTATTATTAATTATTGTATCAATCCTACACTCGAATTCAAAATTAAGATATTAGATCTTTTTGAATATTCTTTAAAGGACCACACGATCTTCGTATCTGATAGTCGTACAATTGAAGTGTTTCGCTGGTATCAAAATGGGCCTTGTAAGATAGCTGTAGTTTATATATGGGCTTTTGTTCTTGAACTAGTTATAGGCTCAAATATATTAATGTTTATATATGGGCTTTTGTTCATGAGCTAGTTATGGGCTCCATTATATAACAGAATTTAAATACTGTATGTTGCATTATTATGATAAGAGGTTTATATTTCCATATTAAGAGACCATTTTTTGTATGAGTGGAACCAGTATAAAACAAAAAATTCAGATTAATGTCAAAAAATACAAATGAATTTTTAACTTTGTGTAAATATTGATCAACGCCGGTATTGGTTTAACACTTCTATAAGATAGAGTGCCAAAAATAGCACAAATCAAAGAGAAGCCATTGCATTGAAAAAAACTTTGATTCCATTACCTGTCTTAACTATTACTCCTACCTTTTTACAAATATACTCTCTAGTTTAATTCTTTTTTACCAAAAATGTAAAAATTGCTAATTCTGGCCTCTCTCATTCTGGATCATAAATACTCTGACAGAGGTGGAGCCCCAAATCCACAATTATTTGTGGTAAAAAACCAATTTTCAACGGTTGATATCATCCACGGAAAAGAAAAAAGCAAACTTCTTTGACTTTGGTCCTCTAAATTCCAATGGTATTACAATTCCGACCCACCATCCTAAGAATATTACATTTTACGCACCTATATTCTCATTTCTCTAAAATAACCCCCTCCCTTGAGAAAATTGTTCGGAGGATACCTACGAAGTTTCGTTTTCACCGGAACGGATCGTTCTCTTCAGCCATAACACTCTCCTTAATCTCCTGAATCATCTTAATCACTTGTCTCATCGTTGGTCTTTGCTCTGGTGATGTTACACGGCAAAGACAAGCTGTTTCAGTCATCATCCCAAGCCTATTATCCTCTGTTCCTTCTTCTTCTTCTCTCATTGCTCTAACCCAATCAAGCATATCATGAGGCGCCATAAACGGATGCCTCGATGCGTTCTTACCAGTCAAAAGCTCAAAGATTAAGACACCAAACGAATAAACATCACATTTGGAAGTTGGTCTACGTGATGATTTTCTGATCTCAGGAGCTTTGTAGGAGGATGAGTCAGGATCATCAGGTGAAGCAGAGGAAGAGTCTGTTAAGACACTGAGGCAGTAATCTGTTAAACAGGCTTCAAAGTCTTGTCCTAAGAGAATGTTTGTGGATTTTAGGTTTCCATGGACTAATGCTGATGATGTTTGGTGGATGTAATATAAGCCTTGAGCTACATCTTCTGCAATCTTTAAACATGATGTCCAATGTAATGGCTTAGCTCTTGAAGATCTTGAACCTGAAATTTTGTAGATTAATTAGTAGGGTCTCAATATGGGACCAAGAAGCAAATCAAGCACCAACAGAAAACAAACATTCTTAAGATGTAATCCTCTCATTCTTGGAAAATGTTCACAATTCTAGTAATAAGAGTATTTATTTTTCCGGCATTTAAGCAGTAACATAAGGTCTAGAGACAAAGCCATTGCAAAAGACGAGATTTCACGTGGAGAAAACAGCACAGAGTTCCACCAAAGTCTGTCTTCTTCCACTACTAGTAGTAAGTAATCAAACGGAAATTTCAAAAAAGAGCAAAAGAACAAAAACTTTTTTTATATAATGATAAAATAAAACCCGCGATTGTCGCTGTGTGGTCATCTTCAATGTCAACAAGTTCACTACTAAGTGATAAATTAAGCTGTGTACAAAACCCTCTACACACAAAGACTCAAATGCTTTCATAATTTTAGGGTTTAAAGCTTAAAATAAACAAAGAGTGGGTCATTATAGTCTCTCTCAACGACCCCAAAACAGTTAGTCACGTCATGATTAAGACCAGCACAATTAAACCACATTTTTAATTTAAGAGAACCATAAACTCGGTGGTGACTCAGTGAGTTATAAACTAAAACCCTTCAAAAAAAAGTTCAACTTTTGAGATTGAAGAAGATGAGAGATTACCGTGAATGAGATTGAATAAGCTACCATTAGGATGATAATCATAGATAATGAGTCTCTCCCCATTAGATTGAAAGTAAGCTCTAATCGGAACAAGATTGGTGTGTCTAAGTCCACCAACAATCTCCATATGATTCTCAAACGCTTCTTCACTAGTCACCGCCGTTTTAGCCGCGTCTAGTCTCTTCACCGTTACAATAAGCTGATTATCAAGAACCGCCTTATACGTAATCCCCACTGATCCTCTTCCCAATAACTCCGCCGAAGCTCTCATTAGCTGCTCCATTGTATACATTCCTTGACTTCTTGATTCTCCACAGAATACTAAATTCCCACTATTTGGTATTCGGCTTTGTAGTTGCTGCTCTGTTTCTTGAAACTGAACATCTTTGTCTCGTTTATGAGATTCGGAATCTGAATTCAAAACCGGAACAGTTCTTGTTCTTGGAGTTTGGTTTTGTGATTGTTGTTGTTGTTGGGATAACGAAGCTTCTCCTTTTGGATTTGGTTCATAGATTCCATCGTCGTTACGTTTCTTAATCACCAGAGAGAACACAACGAGGCAAAGACCAAGAACAATAAGTGAAGCGAGACCAGCGGTGAAACCAAGAACTAAACCACTCTCTTTACCTTTCTTCTTCGTAACCACCGGAGAAATAATCACCGCACCACCGTTCTGCGCCTGAGCACTTTGTCCTAACGGAGGTTCCGACGACGTCGTTTTGTTAGTGGAACCAAAGAACGGCGAGCGTGAAGCGCAAGCTCGGTTTATGATCTCACCGCAGAGTCCAGGGTTAGACCTAAACGACGACGCATCGAATCGTGATAGAGTCGGTGTGACGGGGATAACTCCGGTGAGATTGTTACCGGAAACGTTGAAGGATATTAGAAACGACTGATTTAACGGCGGGAGAGTTCCGTTAAACCGGTTAAACTCGAGATTCAATGAAGTTAACCGGTCAAGAGCGTTGATCTCAGTCGGAATCGAACCGGAGAAGTTGTTACGAGAAAGCGAGAGAATCATTAACCGGTGAAGAGAGAGAATCGACGGAGGGAAAGTACCGGAAAACTGATTCCGGCTAAGGAAGAGAGATTTGAGGTTAACGAGATGTGAAAGATCAGGAATCGGACCAAAGAGCGAGTTATTCTCGAGACTCAGAACTCGGAGCTGGTCAAGACGGCTAAGAGTTGCAGAAGAGAAGTAGCCACGGAGACCAACGCCGGAGAGAACAAGACGAACGATACGACCTTGTGCACATTTGACGCCACGCCATTGACAGTAGTCGTAACGCTCGGTGAGTGAATACAAGAGCTTGTTGTCGAGATCGGCGGTGGATTTGAAAGAGAGTAAAGCAACGGCGTCGGAAGGAAGTAAGGAGTTGAAGTAATTTGGCTCTGCTCCGGCGGAGACACGGAGGAGGATGAAGAAGAGAAGAAAAAAGTTCAGTGTCATTTTTTTTTTTTACTTTTTTCTTTGCAAAGTCACTAGAATTTCAAATCCATATTAATTGCTTCTCTATACTTTTTCTTCTAATTAAAACAAAAAGATAAAATTACCCAAATAAAAATATGGGTGAGAGTTTTTGGGACTGTGAAGCGGATCACGTGCTCATGACGTATATTTTTCTAACGAAATTAAATAATTACAATGATAGTGTTATTTATTTATAAGCACATCTTATACGTATGTTGAACATATAACTTTTGTTGCAAATTATACCTAACGTTGTTATACTTATATGTATTGACGTATTGTGTAAGGTAGAAGAAAATGACAACATACAATCCAAAAACTTAAAATGCATTTATATTCTTTTGTATCTTTGTAAAATTGTTTTACCAAAAAAAAAAAAAAAAAAAAAAAAAAAAATCTTTGTAAAATTGTAACCAGAACAAGTTAAGAATTTTTTTTTGGAATTATGAATACCAAAAAAGTTACCAGGCTGTTAAAAAATAACAGAACCATGCATTTCTTACAGAAGAGATTTGTTTACCCGATGCGGTCAAAATTATATGTTTTCGAGAAGAATCGCATTGGGGGTAAGAGTCACGCGCGGAGTGAAGCGATTGAGAATCAGCGTCTGGAGCGTTTGGCGACGGCTTGAGCAAGTCCGTGAGTGGCTATAGCCGTTAGTGATTGGTCCGTAGGAAATGACTAGACTCGTAGCCAAGCATGTGTGGTCCTTTTTATTTTTTTTGTCAACCCTATTTGTCACAATGTCCTTTTTCCTTATAATTTCTTTAAAAACAAAACAAAAAAAACAAAATAGCGACGTTTAATTTCACAAAACAAAATATAGTTGAGAAAAAAAAACAAAATACATAGTAACTAATTTATGTGGAAGAAATGGTGAGAGTTATTGACATTGTGACAAAGTATGGAGAGTTTCTACAGATTTGTACGACTTTGGGTCCAATCACAATAAAAACTCATTGTTCCCACTCTTCTATGTTTTTTTAGTTTTCTTTAATAATCACTTTGCTTGTTGGTTGTTGCACTTTCTTTTTAAAAGATTCAAGATAAGCAAAGCGTGCTGCTTTTTGTGACACGAAAACAGCATCTCCACTCTCCCATTTGCGTCATTTCCTTAAACATTGAGTTTAAACTTTAAAGATTACAATAAGTATTCACTGTTTCTTTATATAAAAAAAGGTTTAAAGTGTGATGGCTAATACGGAGAAAACTAAGTTAAAGTGATTTTGACTTCATCATTTGTAAATAAGTATAAAAAGAAGCACCCACCATTTCTTTAGAGGCTAATATGTGTCACTTAAAAAGGTACTATTTCAGTATACATAATTAGCTAATCCTCGGATATAAAAATGTACATAGTCTATCGAGACTTCTAGCATCAAATCTGCAATCAGCTATGTACCACACTAAAGCCCAAAAGCAAAAATAGACCTTTTTCTATGGGCCCAAATCAGGTGGATTTAAGTATGGGAGTCTTTTTGTTGCAAAAGCAAAATCCATCATCCTGATTCCTGAGATAAATTGAGCTCAAAGTTCAAACTAATTTTCTCAGTATGCATCCACTATACAAATTTTGTAATAAGTAAAAAGTACGTTAAGTGAATATGTTTATAATTTAAACCAGCATAACTGTTTTGGTTAATATCATCACCTTAACTTAAGCAAATATTGTATCACACCACTTATAATTTAGCTTAGCTTTTAATTTCTACTAGTTCCAAGACTGATTGAGTTTGATCTTACAAAATTTCGAACAATTCTATGGACAAGAGCACAATCTATTACTACTATAATATGATAATAATATTTGTTTAATGCATAGTATTAAATATAATTCCTTAGGAAAGAAGTCAACGAAGAGGAAGAAGGGACAAAGACTTGTGGCCTGTAATTAGTTATGGTGTCACTTTGCAGTAACCAAAACGCCGACACCTCTCTTCCCCTCTTCTTCAGTTCACCAGCTCCATGCATGTACGGTACAACCACCTCTATTCTAACCACACCCTCCCTCCCTCATTTCTTTACACTTTTCTTATTAATCTATCAAACTTATAACCAAATACAAACACAGTTTGTGTTTTGTTTTATCATAACTCTAGTTTTGTATTCTTCCCAACAAACTCCAAATGATTAATTATTTTGGACTTGATTGATATTTGATAGAACTCATTTCATATTTTATCTCTTAATTTATGTCTAGTCTAGCTCGTCTTTATGAGAATTTCACAATTTTCTAATCGGTGCACTAACCGTAAAAACCAGTGAACGGAATTTTAACCCGTACACTTTTTACCCTCACAAAGTTTAACAACTACATGATCAAGATCCGTTTGAACTAGTCGCACTTTCACTATTTTTAAAATTTACCAGACGCTTATTTGATTTACGGTGATTTGTTAATTAGGTAATGTCCGTGTTAGATAAATGTTATTTTCTAAGTTGTATTAGAGAGATGTCGCCTTCAGAAATCTCCCAAACGAAGCTAAATTTTGAAGGAAAGGTGGAAATAATTAATAAGATTCCAGAGCAAATTAATCTTCTAGAATAAAAAAAAAACATTATAATATCTCTACCACAGTGTGACGTCGTCGTCAGTCTCTGATAGGTTTGAGTTCATATCTTTAGTTTTTAATACTTCTCAAAACCAAAACACTTTGTTATTAAAAACAGAGTCATCCTCTTCGTCTTCTTTCTCTGACCAAAACAGAGCGAAAAACAGAGGAAGCAAAAATGAAAAGTGGAGGGAACACAAACACCAAGCTCATACTTGTTCATCCATACATTCAAAAACAAACAAGCACAAATCGTCTATGGCTTCTCGCTTTCGTCTCTTTCTTCACAATCGCTTTTCTCTTAACTCTTCTCTACACCACCGACTCTATCATCCCTACTAAAAACAACTCCGCCACCGTCTCCTCCGCCGTCAATTCCGTCGTCTCCACCGCTCCGATCACTCAGTTGCCAACAGCAGCCATCAATGCAATGCTTCACTACGCGTCGAGATCAAACGACAGCTTCCACATGTCATACGGAGAGATGAAATCAATCTCCGACGTCCTCCGCCGCTGCTCTCCGCCGTGTAATCTCCTAGTCTTCGGCCTAACACACGAAACCCTTCTCTGGAAATCGCTAAACCACAACGGACGTACAGTTTTCATCGAAGAGAATCGTTACTACGCAGCTTACTTCGAAGAAATCCACCCCGAGATCGAAGTCTTCGATGTTCAGTACACGACTAAAGCACGTGAGGCGCGTGAGCTCGTGTCAGCGGTTAAAGAAGCGGCGAGGAACGAGTGTCGTCCGGTGCAGAATCTTCTCTTCTCCGATTGTAAATTAGGACTCAATGATTTGCCAAATCATGTTTACGATGTTGATTGGGATGTGATCTTAGTTGATGGACCACGTGGCGACGGTGGAGATGTACCGGGAAGGATGTCGTCGATTTTCACGGCGGCTGTTCTTGCTCGGAGTAAAAAAGGCGGGAATCCGAAGACGCATGTGTTTGTTCATGATTATTACAGAGATGTTGAGAGACTTTGCGGCGATGAGTTTCTTTGCCGGGAGAATCTTGTGGAGTCTAACGATATGCTTGCGCACTACGTGTTGGAGAGGATGGATAAAAACAGCACGCAGTTCTGTCGTGGTCGTAAGAAACGCTCTGTTTCTTCTCCATCGGCTTGAGTAAAATGTGCGCTAAAATCTTGTGGACTGTGGAGAGTCAAATCAACCGACACAACGGTGGTCATTGACACCGTCAATCGCGGAGGAGTTTGTGTAAAATAAATATTTTTTTCCTGCAATTTAAACTATGTGAAAATTCAATCAGATCAATTAAAATTCCAAAAAATCTCTTGAAGGTACAACAATTCGTATAGAATACCACTAAAGTATTTGGACACTGATGATTAGGTGATACAACATAAAACGCAATGAATCAAGAACGTATAGTTTCAACTTTCTAAATCCTTTGTGGAGACTCTTGTGGAGTCAGAGTATCTATCTTCTTTTTCTTGTAGAGTGGAACTCTTCCTCCAAGCTCTCTTAGCTGATCCACAAGACCGTATAGAAACTCAAACGTCAATATGTTTTGAGCATTAAGCTGTTCTCTAACTTGTGGATGAATTCTAAACCATTCTCCCAACATCTTATGAACGTGAGACCGGATCATCCTCCATGGAACCGGATGCTTCTCACACAACTTTAAATACTCAACAACTAAATCTCCCTGATCTAATCCTCCGTCGACGAATCCCTCTTCTTCGTTATCTTTTACCCATTCAGCTGTTCTAAACCCAGCAAAGGCCGCTGGGTTTTCAAGAAGCGTCTCAGCAGAGAGAACACCTTCAACACCCGTCTCTTTGATGCAGTTATCGACATCTTCGATGCATCTTACATTCCCATTCGCTAGGACAGGGATTCTCAAAGCGTTTTTCACTTCCTTGATAGCACTCCAATCAGCTCTAAACTTTTTCCCGTCTTTCTCATCTCTTGTTCGGCCGTGAACAGCTAGCAGCGAGCAACCAGCATCTTCTAGCATCTTGGCGTACTTGAGTGTATCTTGAAGGTTCGGGAAGATCCGAATTTTGCAGGAGACAGGAACATTGAGGTTCTGAGCTAACTTTTCAACAAGTGACTTCACCAAAGGAAGATTATCCATCAAGAATGCACCATAATTTCCTCTCCTCGCTATACGCTGAGGACACCTGAAACGAAAATCCCCCAAACATTCTTACTCAATATCCAAATTACAATGGGTCACTGTGCTCATTCGGTACACACATCACTAAATCCAAACTATGAGTCAAACTACTAAAGCTCATTGAACTCTATCGTTCCCATAATCTTGGAACCCAAATCATTGCATTCTATCTTAGTTATCAGAACTAACAAATTTAAAACAGTGAAGTCATAAAGGTTCGATTTTTATTGAAGAACCCTAGCATACAAGATGTGAAAGGAGAGAAATTGTACTTACCCTAAATTGATATCAACATAATCGCAGTAAGGTTCGACTCTCTTTGCAGCTTCCAATAACGTATCAGGATCATTAGCACAGAACTGCACAAACAATGGCCTGTCCTCCTACAATTTCACAATCCAATCAAAACCCTAAATTCAAAACTGATAAATCTCTCAGAAAAGCCAAAATCAAATGAAATCTTCAGGTAACTTACCTTACAAGTGGTGAATTCCTGATTTCGATACTTCTCAGTCTCGGTGAAAATCCTAGAATGCAACATCGGAGTATAAGCAGCCTGAGCTCCATATTTCTGGCAGAGTAATCTAAACGGAAGCTCAGAATTATCCACCATCGGAGCAACGATGTACTTAGGTCTACCCAGTTTTTTCCAGTGTGCCCAAGCTCGCTCAACCCTAGTATCAATGCTTAAGACCCGACTTGGAGAGCCCAAGCTTGCCGCCACTGCGTCGACCGTTTCCTCAATCTGCCCATCACGCTGCTCCGAACAGAGGAGATCGTCTAGTACCTTCGAAGGATCAGGTTTTGGATCCGGATTTTGGGTCATTGTTCGCGTTTGGGAGATGAACGATTTTCGGGTCCGTAGAAATCTGAGATTCGAGAGATTTAGTTTCATGAGCTGACGACGGAAGACGAACTCATCGCCGCCGCCATAAATTAGGGGTTGAAGTGAGTCGCTTTAAAGTTTTGGTTTTTTTCTATAAGAAAATGTTTTAAAGTTCTGGGTCGAAGTGAGTTTTTATGGGCTTCATGTATTCAAGTGAACGGATGGGCTTATATGCATTTGAATTTGGCCCACTTAGGAAAAAGACTATTCATTTGTCGTGTTATATTATAGATTATTTTTTTATTTTCAGTAATCGTGTATTAGTTATTTTCTTTTTCCTCTAAAAAGGCAAAAAAAAAAAAAAAAATGTTGGAATGGAATTTGTAACTAATACAGTCACTAGTTTTATTCATCGTAACCTAGTTCTCTCTCAAACAAAACTCAGCCGCCGTCCAAAAGTTTTTTCCGATCTGAGGCTGGAATGCGATGGCTACTTTAGCATCGATTCTGGCCTCTTTTGTCTGTTTTGTATGTAGTTTTTGGCTTTATCTTTCTCTTTCTCTTTGGTTGGTGATGCGATTGTAGGGGTGATGACTGTGGTTGCGCGGAGACCGGCCTCTCTCTGGCAGATCTGTCCCGGAGGTTGGTCTTGGTGTTGATGGCAGATCCGGTGATGAGGCGCTTTTTCGTTTCTGTATCTATTTGCGGTTGGGTTATGTGTGGTGTAGGGTTATTTTGGTGTTTGCTTTGTATATTTGGATTTGGCTTGCTCAGAGGGTCTCTTGGTCGATGGCTGCGTGTTATGCGCAAGTCATAACCTTCTGCTTTTGGGTAGTGACTGTGACCTTTGCTCTTCTACGTTTTTGGGTCATTTAGGCGTTTCAAGGAGTTGTTGTTGCTAGTTTTCGTTATGTTTGCTTGCCATTCATTTGGTGTTTTGTTGCTACGTCATCTACAAGCCTTCTTCCGTGGCTCTTTTGTGGTTGTGGTTTTGGGTTATAGGCGAAGCAATGGAATCGACCTTCTCTTCTTCTCTGGCGGTGTTGTCACTGGTTTTATGGCTGTAGGTGGCTGAAACTGGGTCGGCGAATGCCCGCGTGCAAGAGGTGTTTGTCTTATATGGCTTGTCTTGTGGCGAATCTCGAGGGTCTCCCTTGGTCCTAGTTTATTTTCATCTCCTCGTGTGCCTTGGTATGGCGTGATTGTTGTGGTTGTTGTCTCTTTGGTATCATTTGGTTCTTGCTTTCGTTCCTAGCGGTTCGACTTCGGAAGGATGTCTTATTTTTGTGGCATTACCGGTCTTATTGCTGCTATCCGACTATCACAAGGTTCTTTGGGAAAGTTTAGTCGGAGCCTCTTTGGAACAGTTGGTCAGCTATAGTGCATTGGTCCCAATTTCTTCCTTTAGCGAGTTAATCTTGTTGTCTTTACCGTTTTTGGTAATTTGGCTCCCTGTTTCTTAGGGCTTAGGTTTCCCTCTTTTGGGCTTTGTCTCTGGGGATAGTGTTTTATCCGCCGGCTTCTGTATGGTTCTTGATTTGTATGTTTTCTTGATAATTCTAATAAAAACAGATGAAAAAAAAAAAAAGGAATTTGTAACTAATACATGTAGTAGGTTTTAGTTATGTTATCATTTAACTCTACACTATATTGCATAAGTTGTATAGGGATTTAATCAATTATTTGGAAAGTTTATGACTCTATTTTTTTTTTTTTTTTTTTTTTTTTTGTAAACAAAGTTTATGACTCTATAATAGTTGTTTTTTCCATTTTATTGGTGTATTCTAAATACATTTCAACATTTGTATAAAGTTGTTTAAGCCTTTGCTTAGAAATAAAGAGAAGATGGTAACCTACATCGTACGGCTATTATTCTTTCGTTGACTGCTGACGTAATCAAGCACCAAAAACAATCATTAATCAACGTAACGTCTCTCTAATACACGTGCTTTACCAAAATCTCCTCCTTAATCATCACTCCAGTCCAAATTCACGACATAATAAACGCCTCAACCTCTCACTAATATCTCGCCACGTGTAACTCCAACATCGCTTTTTCTTTTCAATTTCCATTTCTTTAAATATGTCCGTTGTACCAGCAGAAGGGTGTAACCATATTAAAGAGATAATTAAACCGTAATTGCAAAAGTAATTAATTAATCTTAACAGACATTTTTTTCCCTCTTTTATGGTTTCGTTCGCTCACTGTTGAGAAGAAGGAACGAAGAAGAAGAAGATGAAGCTCTCTATGTTTCGATTGAGCTATTGGAACCGTCGAGGAAGTAGTTTCCGATCATCGCCTTCGTTGGATCCCACATTCGACGGAAAATCTCCGTCGTCTGTGTTTTGGTTCGTCATTCATGGTCTCTGCTGCTTGATCAGCTTGATTTTAGGGTTCCGATTCAGCCATTTAGTCCTCTTCTTCCTCTTCTCGACTTCCGTCACCAATCTATACACAACGCCTTTTCTCTCCGCCGCTAACGGCGGTGTAAGCCAGCTTCTCCGGCTAAAACCTCTGGAAACAGTAACTAACAGCACGGTGAAGAAGAACTCTCGAGTGGTGGTTGGAAGACACGGGATCCGGATCCGTCCTTGGCCTCACCCGAATCCGATTGAGGTCTTGAGAGCTCATCAGTTGCTTGTGAGAGTACAGAAAGAGCAGAAATCGATGTACGGTGTGAGGAGCCCTAAGACTGTGATTGTGGTGACGCCGACTTATGTACGGACTTTTCAGGCGCTTCATTTGACCGGAGTTATGCACTCGCTTATGCTTGTTCCGTACGATTTGGTTTGGATCGTTGTGGAAGCTGGTGGAATAACCAACGAGACTGCTTCGTTTATCGCAAAATCAGGATTGAAGACGATTCACTTAGGATTCGATCAGAAAATGCCTAATACTTGGGAAGATCGTCACAAATTGGAGACCAAAATGAGACTTCACGCCTTGAGGTTATATCTCGATTCACATGTTTTGCTTTCTGTTTTGATTGATTGATTTATTCTTATTGACTTGGAATTGTTCATTGATTGGAAGAGCAGAATTGTGAGAGAGAAGAAGTTAGATGGGATTGTTATGTTTGCTGATGATAGCAATATGCATAGTATGGAGCTTTTTGATGAGATTCAAACTGTGAAATGGATTGGTGCTCTATCTGTTGGTATACTTGCTCATTCTGGCAATGCAGATGAATTATCATCGGTCTTGAAGAATGAACAAGGGAAGCATAAAGAGAAACCTTCAATGCCAATCCAAGGTCCTAGTTGTAATTCCTCTGAGAAATTAGTGGGCTGGCACATTTTCAACACTCAACCTTATGCCAAGAAGACTGCGGTTTATATTGATGAGAAAGCGGCTGTGATGCCTATTAAGATGGAATGGTCAGGGTTTGTGTTGAATTCTAGGTTGCTTTGGAAGGAATCTGTAGATGAGAAACCAGCATGGATTAAAGATCTCAATTTGTTGGATGATAACGAGGAAATTGACAGTCCATTATCTCTGGTCAAGGATCCTTCAATGCTGGAGCCACTTGGAAGCTGTGGCCGTCGTGTCTTGCTTTGGTGGCTTCGTGTTGAAGCTCGAGCTGATAGCAAATTCCCACCTGGGTAAGTTTTGTTCTTTACTCTTTCTCTCTGAGGCAATGCAAATTTCTCATTACATTATCACATGTTAACTTGCAATCTTCTAACTTGTGTGAACAAAGCTGGATCATAAAGTCGCCTTTGGAAATCACAGTACCATCAAAGCGGACACCTTGGCCAGACTCTTCCTCAGAGCTCCCAGCGGCGATCAAAGAAGCAAAAAGCGACACTAAGCCAAGAGGATCAAATAGCAAGAGCTTGAAAGGGAAACAAGAACCAAAAGCTTTCAATGGTGTCAAAGTATCAACAACTAGTTGAAGAAGACGTGAAAGATACTAAACATTGACGGAAGCTTGAAGCTTCTATAAATAGATCGAGTTCATTTCATATTCTTTTCACCGTAAATATCGGAAAATTGTTTGGTGTGCATTAGCTTCATTGTATACAATACAAAAATCATATGGGATGTTCTGAGTTCTTCAAATCGATACTTAGCTCTAAAACAAAACTTGGAAGACAAAATAGTCTCCTGACTTCTCTTAACCTTAAAACAGCAAAAATTTCAGACAACAAAAACAGGTGCAGTGAACTCCCTAACTTGAGCCATGGTTGATTTCTGTTAAATCATTACCGAGACTTTGACTGTTTCTTCTCCAGTTTCATTTTGAGGTTGTCTATAATCTTATCCTGCGCCTGGATCAGATGTTCCTTAGCTTTGAGTTTCTGATTCAGTTCTTCAATTTCTTTTGAATGACCTTCGCAGCTGTTTGCAAAGTCCTTAGCTTTGAGTTTTTCCTTCAGTTCTTCAATTTCCTTTAAATGATCCTCACAATGGTTTGCATTTGCCTCTTCGGCCTCCTCAGATTCATCTCGAACCATTTTACGGACGTATAAACTGGCTCCTGATCCTGAACTCAGCTTAAACGCAACCATTTTTTGGGCCAAACCACCTTTCTCCTGAAAGAAAAAGACAACAGAAACTCATTATATCGATTTTTGTTGTGACAGTTTCAAGTCCTGAAATAACAAGAGAGATGATTCTAAATACCTTAGCAGCTTCACCTTTAACTTTGTCAAATGCTTTATTTGCTTCTTCTGGACTATTAAAAACAACAAATGCGTTGTAATAACCTCCTTTTCTTTTTGGTCGCTGCCCAAAAACATGATCCTCGTGAGAGAAAGAAAAAAAAATGAGTATAAAGATTAGGATGTTCGGATTTATTATATTACCATAACTTCAAGTGTGAACTTGCCGGTAATAACTCCTTCTAACTCTTGAGATGAGACATTGAGAGGGATTTTATGAAGGAAGAGCTTTGTCTTATCAGCCTCTCTTTGATTTACATTTGCTTCTTTGGTCTCCTCAGATTCATCTTCTGTCTTCTGTCTCTTAGAACTCACATTGTTCTCCTCTGTTGGAGCTCTCTCTGTTGTAGAGATTTCACCCGGAGAATCATCTTGAACCATTTTACGAACGTATAAACTAGCTCCTGAGCCAGAACTCAGCTTCAACGCAACCATTTTTTGTGGTAAACCCGCTTTATCCTGAAAGATAAAGACAATAGAACCTTGTTATATCGAATTGTTTTTACGATAGTCTCAAATCCTGAAATAACCAAAGAGATGAGCCTAAATACCTTAGCTACGTCTCCTACAACATTTTCAAATGCTTTATTTGCTTCTTCTGGACTATTAAAACCAACTACTGCATTGTAATAACCTCCTTTTCTTTTTGGTGGCTGCCCAAAAACATGATCCTCGTGAGAGAAAGAAAAAAATGAGTATAAAGATTAGAATGTTTGAATTTATAATATTACCTTAACTTCGAGTGTGAAATCCCCGTTAAGAACTCCATGTAACTCTTGAGATGGAACATCGTGAGGGATTTTATGAAGGAAGAGCTTTGTCTTATCAGCCTCTTTTTGGTTTACATTTGCTTCTTTGGGTTCCTCAGAATCATCTTCTGTCTTCTGTCTCTTAGAACTCACATTGTTCTCCTCTGTTCGAGCTCTCTTGGTTGTAGAGATTTCACTCAGAGAATCATCTTTAACCATTTTACGAACATATAAACTAGCTACTAATCCAGAACTCAGCTTCAATGTAACCATTTTTTGTGGCAAGCCTGATTTATCCTGAAAGAAAAAGACAATAGAAACTTGTTATATCAATTTGTTTACGATAGATTCAGATCCTGAAATAACCAGAGAGATGATCCTAAATACCTTAGTTACGTCTCCTTCAACATTTTCAAATGCTTCATTTGCTTCTTCGGGACTATTAAAATCAACGACTGCAGTAGGATAACCTCCTTCTTTTTTTGGTGGCTGCCCAAAAACAAATCACATACACATGATCCTTGTGATAGAGAAAAAAGAGGGTATAAAGATTAGAATGTTCGAATTTATAATATTACCTTAACTTCGAGTGTGAAATCCCCTTTAAGAACTCCTTGTAAATCTTCAGATGGAACATCGAGAGGAATTTTATGAAGGAAGAGCTGTGTCTTACCAGCTTCCTGTCTTTCCTCCTGTCTTTTCTTCTCAGCCACCAGCATCTAATGGATTTGCAGAAAATATTGTATAAGTTTCAGAAAAATAAATATATAAATACACATTTATTTTGGAACTTAGAATGAACTGAAAAAATCCGCCTTACTTCTTCAGATTTTTGGATTGTAGTGTCTACTCCTTTTTCTAAAACAGCAAGTACAAGTTTCATGGAAGCTGCTGCGTCATGAACACAATTGTGAGCAGCATTAGGCATTCTCAGTTCTTGACCCAAAACAGCCTGGAGAAACAAAAATACAAAAATTGATTTATCAATCATTTACATATTCAGGATTCGATATCTCAATGAGCAAAGAATAATAAAAGCTTCGCATGCTTGCCTTGCATAGATTATTCAAAGAAGGTCTATGAGTCTTTGGTGCGTCGACAAACTCAAATACAAATGAAGTATCTATTACTCTCGCATGATCTATCCTCAACACTGTGATCAAAGTAACTCATAAGCACAATCGAAATTAATAATATCTCAACAAAAATAAAGAAATTTTGAGCTTTTTGCTTACCTTGAAGATCATTATGCAAACCATGACCTACCAAAATAGTTCCCTTAGAAAGAAACCTCCGCAATTTTTTTTGAATATCTGTTACAGATAGAGTAGCTCTCTCAAGATCCTCAGCAGTAACTCCAGTAATGTCAGTCTTATAGTTAATAACCTGTTTGTCCGGTTTCACATATTTGTCAAGAACCACCTATTTGATGAACATCAGATAAAAACAACATGGTTACAAAGCCCGATAACAGAGTATTGAAAAATCTATAAGATTGAATGCTCTCAAGCTACACACCTTTAAGTCGCGGTCCACTGCGCCAACTCTAACTACAGCTTCGCTCCCGTCTTCACAGGTAACCATCTCACAATCAATAGCAAGCATTCTAGTTGATTTCATCACTTTCGACTTCTTCTTTCCAAGCTCAGTTACAAACCAATCCTGTTTGGTAATTCAGAATATGTTTTTGATCATCTCACATGCAGGAGAAAGAGGGAGTTGTTAATAAACTCAATAGAAACACAAACCTCAGCGTAGGAAGGAAACGAATAGCTTGTAGGGTAAGCGTTATGCGTAATAGTCAATCGAACTAGCCTCTGCACTGCCAACAACATAGTTATGAACCAATTGCTTAAAACAACTAAAAACATCATCAAAAATGTTCTCCACCTGCTCAGGAGTCTCTTTGTCCGGAGATTCTTGCTTGAATTTCTCAATTAGTTCACGATTAGCACCACATTGCATAACCCTAGCTATTAGCTGAGAGTAAAAACCAAGCATCAAATGGTAAGAACTAAGAACAAGTAATCCAAAATAAGATACCACCAATGTGTGAGTGTTAAAGTTATCTTTGTTACCAGCAAATCTTCTTTCTTTTTGAAGGTCAAAAGAAAAGCGACCAAAACATCATTGGAACGTCTCGAAGGATCACTCAAACTCGATCCGAATTTTTTGTCGTAAACATTTAAAAACTCCTTCCAACCTCCGTTTTCGCCTTCTAAACCACGTTTCTGAACTAGCTTCACCAAGTCTACTAGCACCTAATATCATCCCATGATAAATTTGAATTCACCAAAGTCAGAGAATGAGATTTTTAGCTGAGAAATATCTAGTGTGCTATGATAACGGGAGAGACTTACTTTTTTCTCAGCAGTAGCTAGTTTATGCTCCATTACCAAGAGTTTTAACGGACGGTGGCTCTGTGTCTTGAAAGAGGCGGCGACTTGGAGAAAGGAGAGTTGGGGAAGACGGAGAATCAAAATTTAGGGTTTTATTCTGTTTGTTGTTTATTTTTTTTCTTTTCTTGTTTAATAATTTGTTGTTCGGGAAGCTTATGTTTTAATTACTGTTTTGTCCAATTCAACGTTACTTACTCACTTTGGTTGCAATCAGAAATTTTTTTAAAAAATTACAAAATTAGTAAAATCTGTCTATAAATTAATAATTATTCATTTATCGATAAATTAATATCTCTTAGGGCTTGATTGGTTCTCCCGCTAGCACCCGCCTAACGGTTCTTAGCGGTTGGTTGCGGTTGTTAGCGGTTGTTAGCGGTTGGTACCAATCATGGAAACCGCTCTATACCGCTTTGAATCGCTCGAAATCGTTGGATTTCAAAAGCTCCTTCCCGCAAGCGTTTGCGGTTGCGGGCGGTTGTGGTTGGTTTATAAAAAGAAAAAAATTAAAAAAGAAAATGAACGAATTAAAATATATATCATCAAGTCTTATATATATTCACATTAATTCTCAAAAATAATATTTATCTAACTTTAATTTTTGAATATTAATAATTATTTTTGTTTTCAATATAAAATTTATTTGAACAATTATTCATGGTTTTTAATCGTTAATCATGTTTAAAAATTCTATACTTTTTCATAATTATTGTTTTTGGTGTTATTATACTTTTTTTTAATCATATATTAATTATTTTGGTAAATTTTGGTTTAGCCGCTATCGTACCCGCTGATCAACCAGTCGTAAATCTCCCGCAAACGCACCCGTTTTCAACCGCTAAACCAGTCGGTCAAAACGCTAAATAACGCTTGAAACCGTAACCGCCCGCTTCCGCAAACTCCCACAACCGCAACTGCAACCGCTGTGTTTAAACCAGTCAAGCCCTTAGATTAAGAAAATTTTCTGGTCCAACATTATTAATTTAAAGAGGTTTTACTGTATATATAATATAATGTTAGAGAAAATTTGTGTGCTTGCCATAAAACACATTTGAAACCAAGAGTGTGTTACCTAGCTAGTGGTTGTTTGAATGGATAAAATATTCTGTCATGTCAATGTAAAAGATCGAATTCCTCCATTTACAATTCGTCATGGACCGTTTTAACTAGCCTTCAAAACTTCACCAAAGTAACTTATCCAGGTTACTTATAAGTTGTAAATATCAGCAAATCTGACGATTCATTCACATCAATGGACTAACATTGAGATTCCAAAGAGAGAAAACAAATAAATCCGAACCCCAAATCAATAGTCAATACAATAAATGTTCTTCCTCGGAATGACTTTTCTAATCGACAAGTCTTGCACACATGAAAATGAAAGAGGATTACAAATAAAGAGAGAAATTTCACTTAAACAAAGATTCTTTTTGACAATTACCGTTTTTATAGTTATAGCTGATCAAGTAGAACTACTAGCATTATCATTATGAGACCATCTTCTGAATGTGCAAGTTACCAAGTTTCTTCCAGCAAGAAACCCTAACTTTGACCTAATCGTTGCTAATCTACTTCCTCCATTGTTGCCACCACTATTACCTGAACCAATCTCTGCCACAATTCCACCTGCTTGAACCACCCTCGGCTCCTCGACAACGGTTTCAACCTCACCATCCACCACCACTACCGCTTCGGTTTCATCACTATCCATACTCACCACAAGTGTCCTCCTTTGTTCACGCAGCCAATCTCCAATCTCTCCAGTTACCACTTTACATTTCTTTACCTTCAATTTCACCAGATTAGGACAACCCACAGCGAGCGCCTCAATCCCTCGATCCGAAACAGGACATCCTTTGATACAGAATTTCCTCAATGCTCCACATTTCCTAGCGATGCAAGCGATCTCTGTATCGCCTATTGTTCCACTTCCACAAAGTGCTAATCGTTCAAGCTTCTCACAATTTGAAGCAATGGCTGCTAAACTCATATGTGTTGCATTAACACCAATCAGCACAAGTTCTTGTAAGTTTAAGCAGTGTTTAGCTACAGACAATAGACCTTCATCACCAATCCTATTAGTCCTCCAACCATCAATATGAAGTTTCCTCAGCAGCTTACATCTCTCAGCTACATTAATCAGACCATAGTTTGAGCATTCTGGAGTTTTCACTATATGCAATGTCTCTACATTTGAGCATTTAGATATCGCAGATAGCCCAATGTCACTCACTTGGAGCCTCTCTAGGTGAATTTCACTTAAAGAACTCTTACCATCTCCAATCATCTGAAGAACTCTATCCCAATCACCCAAACAACGAATGATTTTAAGTGTTTTCAGTGTTTTTGTAGTAGCAACCAATGGTTCAAATACCTGGCCATTAACGAGCTCCTTCAAGCAAATCGACCTGAGTGAAGAAGATGAACCAGCAGCAGCAGCAGGCAGGTGAATCAACTCAGCTGCTTCATGAATTCCTCGAAGTCGCTTCACCGACAATTCCTCCAGAAGCTTACAATGTTCGAGCATCGCGTTCACGCCTTTAGCTCCAAAATTGCAAGATCCAACAGATAGCTTCTTTAGATTTTTACAATTCCTAGCAAACTCTTCCATTCCCAGATCCGTAATCTCGCGACAACCACGAAGCTTAACACGAGTCAGATTCAAACAACGAACAGAGATCATAGCCAAAGCTTCATCGCTCAAGCTAACAGACTTCCGATCACATCGGAGAGCAAGCTTCGTCACCGAATCAAATCGATTGAACATAGAAGTTAGGAAAGGGAAGATCTCATCCTTAGCATCTAGAGATAACCGATGACGACTCTGACCGTCGACGTACAACCACCGTTTACAAACAAGAGAGCATCGCTTCCGATCTCCAGCTCCAAGAAACTGAAACACATGAGCTAAACACTCATCCGGTAGATCTCCGGTTAAATCCCGATCTCTAACCGCCACAACATTTCCCAAAGCCATCGATTCTCCTCCAGCAACAATCACCGGAGACCATAACCTCAAATCAATCTCTCGTCCGTTCGATTCCGCCGTAGACGACGGCGCTTGGCCCATCACCACCACCGAATGGTTTCGTTTTCCTCCTTTCTCTTCCTCAGCAATTTTTTTTTTTTTTTAATTTCCCTTTATTTATTTTTTGTTGTGAGATCTTTTTGTTTGAGGAATTATAAAGTACACACAGTAACGGCTCATCCGGTCAAATAAGGTGACACGTGTCTTAATCGTAGTCGACACGCTCAACCCAACTCACACTCCCACGCGCTTTATTTAATTCATTCGCAACCGTCAGATCTAAAAATTAAGTGTTGAGCTAATCGTGATCGTTGATTACTTTCACCTTTTTAACTTTTTGTTTTTGCTTTCTTTTTTATAACCTATCGTCACGCTCTTCTTCTGCGACCATCATTACTTCTCGTGTTCAACGGTCAAACTTCATGTTCTCAAGACACTACTACTAAACTTTTGTTTTTGTATGCTAATGACTATTCAATTTTATACTACTATTAATTATTTTTCTTAGATTGAATTTTTTTGAAAAAAATGTCAATTACGTTGAGACAGATATAAATTAATACCCCACCAGTTGAGAGAATCTACGCATTACGCATATGCTTGGTTTTTAATCTGTTTTTTGGTTCTTGAATGTTTGATGACATAATTTAATTTTCAATTAATTATTTGAACATTCGGATGATATATATTGATGAAACATTAATGCAGCTTGCCTACCAATATGATAATGTAGGGGGAAAAAAATAGCCATTCGTAATAGACATTTTCATTGGACCGCCTTCTCTATCAAATTAAAATTATTAACGCAATATCTTAGAAGCCCATATTAGCAAAATATGTTTGGATCCAGTTATTGATAAAGCCCATATTTAAGTTTGATGGGCCAAAACGTATAAATCGAAAAAGAAAGGGAAAAAACACTGAAAACTAATATTTGTTAAATAGAAACTCTGAACGATGAGTATTTGTTAAAGTATAAGGATAATTAATATCCCAAAAACTCTGAACGATGATTGGTGAACGAGAGAAGTCAAAAGTTGGTGTTACTTTAATATATCGGGACATTACATTAACATTACGACAGTATTATTACAAAAACTTAAAAAAGAATGTGCCACATTTAAATGGGGTTTGTCTCTTTTTCTCCAACCAAAAACACAATGATAATGCTTAAACCAAACAGTACAACTCTTTCCAATTTCCATGTTTGACTCCAGATCTTATGATCAATTGCTAATCCATGTTTTGATATTTTTTCAATAAATCCTGACACATCTTTATGTTTTTTGAATGTCAAATTCCATACAACATTTATATTTATTTACATAAATCATGATTGAGTACGTAAACTTAGGTTGGTGTTAATGACATCAGATTATGTAATAATGAGTACGTTCATATAATGTCGGAATGTTTTAACTCTCTTTTTTTCAATTGCTCATTTACTTTATACTCAACTTTTTGATTGGATGCTAAGTTTTAACTCTTCATCATGTCAAAATTATGTCAAACTCTCTGGTTCTCGAGGTTACAAATATCTTGAACTCTCCCTCTGGACTTTTTTTTAGTTTTGTTTCTAACCATATTTTCTGTAACCATCATACCTCCCATAGTGACTTTTTTACATGCCACTATCAATTTACTTACAAAAAGTTACTGGTTTACAACGGCGACCATCGTTTGAATTCGGATAAAGATAAAGAACGAAATGCAGAGAGGTGGGGACAAATTACAAGAAGGAAATGAAAAATAAGATGTGAAAGGTGGAAATGAGAAGTCGCTATTAAACTTTGTAGTAATCTCTCTCAGATTCAGACTTTGTTTCGCTTGTTACCAATGGCTTGTTTCACATCTTTCCCTCTCGTGATTTACTTATATGATTATATCTTATCTTTATGTATGTGTCTTGATCATGCATTAAATACAAATAACATCCAAAAAAACTTGTGTGTTTCTCTTTCTTTTCCAATAACATGTACGTATAGTGGTAATAATCAAATTCAAACATGAACATGACTATACCAAATTAGACCACTAATCACATTTCTTGATAAATAATCGTTACTAATACGCACATTTTGTCTAAATCATATCAAAGATCATGGTACAATCGTAAAAATAGAAGTGATATATTGTATTAACTATTTTCTGAATATCACATTATGGTACAATTGTAAAATAGAAGTTATATATTGTTTGTAAGTATACCACGTTAACGATTTGTTCTTTCCCTGACCAAAAAAAAAAAAAAAACGATTTGTTCTTTCTTTTGTTCCACTTCCTTCACTTCATTTGTTGTTTTGTTCTATCCTTCATTTTTGTATTGTAACCAGGCTCAAAAGAAGGTATTTTGACCACTAATGTTGTTGTTAAAGTTTAAAACATCCTTTTTGGATAATTTACTTTTTATTGTAAAGGCAAGAAGAATATGTTTAATCTGCTAATCGCCTTTTTTTTTTTTTTGCCTCGAATCCGAATTTTAACATATAAAGAAGCGAGGGCAGGTTCGAATTAAATAATCACTCTTTTAAAGAGATCTTTATAGAATACATAAAAAAATCAAACTATTTATAGGGAAAATAAATTGACAAATTTATTTCTTTTTTGCTTTCAATTTATGTTCATTGGACCACAGAGAATCTGCAAAGCTATGTATCAAGAAAGACGTGACTATAATAAATACCACGAACAATAAATAACTAGATTCATATTACGAATCTTTTTAAGTATTCCCCCAAAAAAACTAGTCTTAAATTCGTGTATTGCACATAAAAAATTCATCCCGTATTTAGAAATCTTTTTTGGTTGCTAAATGTTTAAGAAGAACAAGTTCTTTTAACAAAATGATTCAAAGTAAAATATGGTCTTTAAGTAAAAGAAAAATTAATGGTTAGATCTGTTTTGTTGTAATCAATGATAAAAATCCAAAAAAATAAATAATCAAGAATGACTTAATCATCAATCCGCAACTCAAAGGAGCGTAATCACCACGATCCGATCGAGACATATGTTTGTCTCCATCGTACGGACAGGGTTTAAGAGCGTTTATACACGTGCGATAAATCGCGTGGGTTAAGATACATAAATACTCTAGAGGCTGATACTAATTAATTCGTTAATTATAATAATTTTCTCCCGCGAAAACATCCGAATATTAAAAAAAAAGAGAGAAATAAAACAAAATTTATATTGGAAATTAAAAAAAAAAAAAAAAAGACAAGCGTGAGATAATAAAACCCTTGGCTTTCTCTTTGCAAAAGTCCGGTCTCTAGTTCCTTTTTCTTCTTTCTTCACTGTAGAATCCGTCGACAAAAACTAGCTTCAATGGCATAATGAGCATTGAAATCTGCAATTTCTTCTTCACGGAAGAAGAAGAAGATGGCTTTGGAGAAAGAAGAAGAAGCGTCACAAAACGCACCGTTTTGTGTCCTTGATGGGCTCTATTGTGAGGAAGAAACCGGGTTTGTGGAAGAAGAAGATCTTGATGACGGAGATTTAGCTTTTCTCGAGAAATCTGATGAGAGTGTCGTAAAGTTTCAGTTTTTACCTCTTTTGGATATGTTTTTATGGGATGACGATGAGCTTATGAGTCTGATTTCAAAGGAAAACGAAACGAATCCATGTTTTGGGGAAGAAGTCTTAGATGGGTTTTTGGTTTCTTGTAGAAAAGAGGCTTTAGATTGGGTTTTTAGGGTTAAATCTCATTACGGGTTCTCTTCATTGACGGCTATTCTTGCTGTGAACTACTTCGATAGGTTTATGACAAGTATAAAGCTTCAGACTGATAAGCCATGGATGTCTCAGCTTGTAGCTGTGGCTTCTTTGTCTTTAGCTGCTAAAGTTGAAGAGATTCAAGTTCCATTACTCCTAGACCTCCAAGTTAGTTTCTTTTGTCTCTCTCTTATAATGTGGCTGCTTAAGTGTTTGCCGAGTTCTGATGGAGTTTTTTTTTGGTGTGTTTGTGGTTTAAGGTGGACGAAGCAAGATACGTCTTTGAAGCTAAGACTATACAAAGAATGGAGCTTTTGATTCTTTCTACTCTTCAGTGGAGAATGCACCCTGTGACTCCAATCTCTTTCTTTGATCACATTATCCGGCGATTTGGTTCTAAATGGCACCAGCAATTGGACTTCTTTAGGAAGTGTGAGCGTCTTCTGATCTCTGTTATTGCTGGTGAGGTTTCCTGTTTAAAACCCTTTATGTTTTTGTTTGGATTCTTGGTGCTAAATTCTGAATCTTGGTCGCAGATACGAGGTTTATGAGTTACTTCCCTTCTGTCTTAGCTACTGCAATAATGATCTTTGTCATTGAGGATTTGAAACCATGTGAAGAAGTTGAATACCAATCTCAAATAATGACTCTACTCAAAGTTAATCAGGTCTGTTGCTTAAAAGGACTTTGTAATTAGTCCAATTATACTGTTAAAGATCAGAATCTGATTCAGCATTGACTTCACAGGAGAAAGTAAATGAATGCTATGAACTATTGCTGGAGCACAATCCAAGCAAGAAGAGGATGATGAATTTGCTTGGTCAGGACAGTCCAAGTGGTGTGTTAGACTTTGACGACAGCTCAAATAGCTCCTGGAATGTCTCTACTACTGCTTCAGTGTCCTCATCATCTTCATCTCCAGAGCCTCTGCTTAAGAGAAGAAGAGTGCAGGAGCAGCAAATGAGATTGCCTTCAATAAATCGTATGTTTCTCGATGTGCTTAGTAGTAGTCCTCGCTAGTACGTACCTTTCTTTGATCAAATGTGTCAAAACATAAATTCAGTCTCTCTTTTGCGTATCATTTATCGGCTATGGCTACAATTTTAAGGCAGAACATTTTGTGATAACTCTAAGCTAATTCTGCCTCTTAAATCATAATATTCATTCATCAATCATTATGCCATTGCATCATTTTCGCAGTAGATCAACATTAAGAGTTACTGATTATATTGCAAATTTGTTAGCTGATTATGTTCAAGTAGAATGTTGAAGAGAGAATTCAAAAGTCAAAAAGTAAGGAGTACTACATCGTCCTTGAAATCTCAACAAACACTAGCAATATAGGGCTTGAAACTAAGAATTGACTGATATATAAACATCAGTAACAGTAAATAAGTAAAAAGTAACTCTCTCTATCACTCACTCTCTCTCTCCTGATATGTCAATTGTTTGATATGGAAATCTCTTGGACCAGTTTAAATTTTGGGGAGATAAGATTGGAAAAAGAAGAGTGGTTGATATAAATGATAAACCTGAAACATCTGATTTCTTCTGTTGGGTTAGTAAAACATGTGAAAGAAAACCTCAGTTGTACCTTTTGAGCAGACCCAAGCAGACCCAAGCAGAATCAAGAAGAGTGGTTGGTTTTTTCCATAATTTAATTTCTTTTTTATAAATAATCTCTTTAATTTTTGGGGTAATTTTCAATATTGATTTGAAAGGAAAGGATTTTGAGACCAGACAAAGGGTGGTTCAAGTACTTGTCTTGTTTTTATCCTTGAAAATGAAAAAAATCTGGTGGACATATATGTATGTAAGTATGTAACACCCTCCTCCTATGACTTGAATTTACTGTCTCATGTCTTGTCAAAGACAAAGACAATAAATATGTTATTAGCTTTTAAGCACCATCTGTGAATAACCCATTGGGCATTTATCAGAATTTCAGACACATATATATCTATGGATTCTGACATGTATATGAATTATTGTGATGGTTTTATTGGAGAATGAGATTTTAAGAAGCTTTCTTGGGTTCTTAAGTATTACTACTACTGAATAATCCAATCAAGACCTTCCTATAGTCTTTGATGATTTAGTTCGTTCTTATTCAAATGGTAATTGTTTTTATGTTAAACTGGTTTTAGTATATCGAAATTCTAATTGCCGAAAATAGCGTCTTCAACGGTCGGATCTTTTTTTCTTCTTTTTAGCAGAACAAAAAGAAAAAGCCTGTCAATTTTTTTTTTAAAAAAAGCTTTGAATTTGTTTTTAAAAAGTTATATACTTCGTTGGTCTTGCCCACCAACATCCCACACGGTAAAGCTCACGTTTTTGTACCCCACCGTCTTTATACGTTATATACTGATTGCAAAAACAGCCATTTTCAACCTCAACTATTTGCTGGCGGGTTTTTCCAACCCAAACTATGACCCCCAGTCGATTTCAACCTAAACCCAAAAATAATTCAAAATAGAAATCTGAACTAATGCAAATGAGCCGATTTCAACACGACGCAAAACGGTGTTAGTTCGAAAGTTAACGGTTTCTCAACTTTAGGTAATTCTCTCTCTACGACATTCAACAAACTCTGAAAATAAAATCGAATAACTTTGAGAACCGTTAAATTCCGAACTAACACTGTTTCGCATCGGCTTATTTACATTAGTTCAGGTTTCGATTTTGAATTATTTTTGAATTTGGGTTGAAATCGACCGGAGGTCATAGTTTAGGTTGGAAAAATCCGCCAGCAAATAGTTGAGGTTGAAAATGGCCGTTTTCCCTATACTGATTACTATAAAATAAATTCAGCACACAAATACTTAGGAAAATAACAAGACACAGAATAAAATAAATACAAGGCATTTTTCATACAAAAAGGGCTTTATCCAACTTTATTCTTGCAATGTTATAAGCTCACAATTTATCATTTAGACCTTTTTATTTCATACTATTCGTAACCAATAAAAATATTTGGTATAGATTATAAAGATTAAAAACCCTTGAAAACTAAAAGATTAGGGGGTTTCATTATGGGAATACAAAGAGGATATTTACAGTTGTAAAGTACAAGAATATAGAAAACCGATTTTTTATTTTTTATTTTGAGAGATGACTTCTTTGGCAGATTTAAGGGTGGATTCAACGGCAGCAGCAGCTCCGACAAGAACTCCGCCGCTAGTTTTGGGATGAGATTGATGAACCACTTCTACATTTCTTTGCTCTGAGCCTTTCCCCGCCGACGAACGATGCTCCGTCGTTTCCCCCACCACTTTTGATGATCCATCCTCTTGTTTTTTTTCAGTCTCCATTTCCTTACAAGTAAAATCAAATTACAAATATTACATTTTAATCAGTTTTTCAAAAATTATATTACAATTTAATGATTTATATACCTAAACGAAAAATACCAAGAAGTAAAGAACATGAATTCATCATACCTTCATGGCTTTTAGGTTCATATCTTATAAAACTAAATCGTAACAGAATCTCTTTTTCTAATTGGAGTTAAGGAAAAAACTAACAAATTAAATTTATAAAAGAAAAGCACAAAATCGTTAATTTGAGTATATGAACGTCCGGTTCTTACGTTTGTCTTTCTATTTTCTTCAAAAGATTAATTGGCCAGCCTGAGTGTTAGGAAAAAAACATTATGCAACTACACTTTTTATTTTTACAATTATCCCATAAGATTATGGCTCTAATGCCAAAATTAATCCGCCATTTCCCACAATTAAACTACTTCTGTTCAATTATAAAGCACAGTTACTAATCAAGTAAGATGTGAAACTGTAGCGAGCCAAAACATATTATACCAATAAGGATCACAAAACATCACAACAATGATATTTTCAACAGAGTACTAGTAGTAAGTTTATAAGAAGGGATAGGGAATTTTTTTCAAACATAGAGCAAATTCTCTGACAGAGAATCTTTTTATAAGAGAGTATTATAGTAAGTAGCTAACTCTGATTTCAGCAGGTCAAGAGAGGAGATGAACCACTGCATTTGACATCAGAAGCATCAGAAAGGCGTTGTCTCGGAGAGAGTGTTGTAATCGCTGCAGCATCGACGTCGAGATTCACTATGAGCTTCCTCTTCTGTGACTCTATTACACTGTTCCTTCTCTCTTCTGATCCTTCAGCAATGGGACTCAAAGTCTGTATCTCTGTTGGTTCTGCTGCTGCTCCAACGTCTTCCCCATCTGCTGCGTATAGGATTCTTTTTATGGAACCAACAAGCTGCAAAACAAAAGAGCAATGATGATTATAAACTTTTATGGTGTTTGTTGAATTGAGAAATAGAAAAGACTTTGCATACAGGTAAGTGCTCTGTGTCTGGATTTTGGCAGAGAATCTCTACATCTCTGAGTTTAGAGAAATAGAAATCTCTCTCTTTCTCCAAGCTGTCTATGTAGAGTTTGAGTTCTGTGATCTGTGATCAAAGAAGTGAGTTAGTGAGCTTTTAGAATGTGGTATAATTTAAGAAATGAGTGTGTTGAGAAGATATACCTTTTCATCATAAGCAGGCACTGGTTTAGATTGTTTAGCTGATGGTTTTGAAGAGTGGTGGTGATTCCCAGTTGAAGAGTGGTGATTCCCAGTGTTAGAGGATTGTGGTTCATGTTTGCGGGTTCCATTTGAAGATGAAGGTCTAGGTGCAGCTGAAGAAGAAGAACTCTTGCCTGATTGTTGTGTAGCTGCAGCTCTCTTGGTTGCTTCTTTACCTCCTTTGCTGGCTTCTCTTCTCTCAAGTGCATGGTAACTACCAATGAAAACCAAATACAAGAGAGCAGTTTCAGAAACAAGTAAATGAATCTGGATAATATATCATTATAAACTTTATGAACTAGACTGTTGGATATATCTACTCAGCAGAGCCACTACACTAGGAACCATGATTCATAGTCAATTTTGGTTTTCTTTGTAACGAATTGGAAATAGTATCACACAACAATCAGAATCAAGAAGCCAACTATAAACAACTACTGGATATGTTTTATATAAACAAGGTTAAAGGCTCTAATAGTAGCAAAACTTACTTATGCTGGCCTCCATTTACAGAATCACAGTACTTCTTCATCCATTGCATGAACTCCAAGTTATCCAATGGCCTTCCCTTAACGAGTTTGCTCACTTCGATGTGCTACACACCCAAATTAATCACACAAAGTCAGTTCTATTATGCCTCCTAGACCCAAAAATCGAGAGAAAAAAAGGAAAATGAAGAAGATACGAAAAAGGACCTTAGTGATCTTCAGCTTATTAAACACATCTTGAAGAACCTTATAGTTCTGAATCATCTCATACTCACTCTTGGCATCAAAGTTAACCTTGTGCATCGGAACAGTCCCAGGGTGTACCGAATCCATGAGCTGACAATGAACAGCGCCTGAACAAGCCTATAATTCCATAGATCCGTATTCAGATCCACGACAAACAGATAAGAAATTCATCGAATCCGAATTCAATTTCCAGAACAACAAATCAAAACAGATAAGAATCCACCGATTCCAAAATCCGAAACTAGGTTTAGATAGAGAAGCGAAATTACTCAATAGAATTACCTCTTCAACTTTGGAGAGATTGAGTTGGAGAGTGGAGTTAATCCAGGCCAGAATCTCCGATCTCCCGACGAAATATGCAGAATCCATCATCCCAATGTTCGTAGCCATCTTCGATTTTCTCTGGTTTTTTTCTCTCTCTGGTTTTTTCTCTCTCGATCTCTCTCTAACGGCTCTTTTGAAATTAGGAGAAGAGAACAAAGATAGAAAATGAAGAGACGAGAGCGGAGTTTTCAATTTCAAAATGCAAATATCCGAGTCTTTACCCGCTCTGCTTATTTCGGATCCGGGTAATTCTTAATGGATCTATATAACTACGCTACTTACGAAAGCCCAAAAGCCCATCTTCTTTCTTTCAATATCTTATTCTTTTCCGTGAAATTGTCACACACCAGAAAATAAATATGTAACTTAGCCCGGAGATATTATTGTCACTTAAATCATAAACCAAATATAAATTCAAAATCAGAAGCCACAAAAGAACATTAAAAACTCGCCTATCAATCTAACTCTAAGTACACACAGTCAAGTTATATAACTCTTTTCTTGGTCTTAATTATTATCATCACTGTTGACTTAAATGAACAGGGAATCTCTCGAGAACTTGTAAAGCCTCTTTGATATTGGGCCTTCTCTGTGGTATTGGAGATGCACAAGCTAGGCCCATTTTCAAACATGCCAACACAGCTTCTTCTTTGCCTTCTAACTCAGCCCGTATAGCAGAGTCCGCCATCCGAATTGCCCGCTCACCGTCATCAATCACAAGCCCATTAACCTGTCCAAGCTCGTCGACCACCACGATCTTTCCCGTCAATAACTCAAGGAGAATAACTCCGAACGAGTACACATCCCATTTCTGATTCGGTTTTATGCTACGAAGAGATTCCGGAGCATTGTAAGGTAACCCGACTGAACTTGGACTTGGGCTTGGACTCGGCCCAAACTCAAGAGATGTTGTGGATCTCTTGCTTCCGAATATCGGAGCCGATCCACCAGCTCTATAACTCATGTCGCCAATCAAAAGCTTCTCAAGTCCGAAATCGGCAACTTTAGGCTCCATATCTAAGCCCAAAAGGATATTACTAGGCTTAAGGTTACCATGCACGTACTTCTTGTCGTGTACATATGTTAGCCCACGAGCTATGCCTTTTGCTATCTTGAGCCGAGCTTCCCAAGGTAAATGACAAGGAGAGGAGCCCACTTTCCCTGCAATTAAAAGAAAACAAAACACAGGCCTGTATATTAGGTGAAATCGAACATGTACACGTTAGCAAATCCCTTACTGTTACTTATCAATACAAAAAGACAAATGTAAAGCAAAGGACTTGCATCTATCAATAACAAAGATACAAAACCTCTATATATGGGGCTCAACAGAGAGATTTCACATTTTCACTGAAACAGAACTGTCACTATCTTGCGCCTGAGATAAGCTTACGATAAGAGAAAAAATAAAAACAGTTTTTGAGACTTGCCGTTGACCCACGTCCGATCATTAACTGACATACTTTTTTAGTTGGAACCAACTCTCTGACTCCGAAACCGACACTTTTCACTCCTCTGCTTATGTTAGCCAACTAGTACATAACCCTACTAACGTAAGCGTGTAATTAAAATCAGAGGTAACGGGAAAAAAAGGACTTACGGTAACGGGCGTTAGCGAGGCTGCCGTTAGGGACAAAATCGTAAATGACAAGCTTCTCGTCGGCTCCCCAATAGAAACCTCGAATTCGTACCAGGTTTGGATGTATTAACTTAGCCACGGCTCGAACCTGAGCTTCGAAATCTCTAAACCGGTCTAAACCGCATTCAGCTATACGTCGAACCGCCACAGCCGTTCCGTCTTGAAGAACCGCTTTATACATTATGCTCGAACCGGTGGCTCCCAAAATATAAGCCGAAGCCTTGAGAAGCGTTTCGATTTCAAGCTCTTTCTCTGAATCGAGATTCACTAACGTTCCTTTCTTGTCTTGATCGTCTAATCCTGACCGTCGATTTGGCCCGACCGGGTTCTCTTCGTCGGATTCGGATTCCGATGTCTCGGATTCTTCTTCTTCGTCTTCACAGTCACCGTCAACGTAAACGGATTTGCGTAGACAGTACCATTTTGAGACCTTGGAATCTGTTGATGACGTGGACCATTTTGACGTAGCCGTTACGGTCTTCCTTTTTCTCGACTGGTAAATGTAGAAAAACACAATCCCGAGGATAGCTAAACCGGCTAAGTCACCGACAACGATGCCAATGATAAGCACCGGTTTATGATCCCATTTTGATTTTTGACCGGGTTTGGAGCTAATTGGGTGATTGGTTAAGCCAATGGTATTTGGTATAGCAGCTAATGCAGGAGGAGAATTTGGAGTCGGCGATGGAAGTGGAGAGGTTGCTTCACCGTCACGGCAAGGGTGTTTTGCTGGGTCGGATCCGCAGAGACCCGGGTTACCGGAGAAAGAGTTTGATTCTTGGTTATCGAGAACCCGAAAACCAGGGATTTGACCCGTGAGCTGGTTGAATGAGAGATCGACGGTGGCGTTTTCCGGGATTTCATCGGCGAAACCTGACGGAATCTCGCCGGAGATTCTGTTGTACGAAACGTTGAGATAGCGTAAACGATTCCCTCTGAAATGTGACGGCAACGAGCCTTTGATCAAATTCGACGACAGGTCAAGATACTCCGTCGACTTAAAACCTCCCGGAATCTGGCCGGTGAAATAATTGTTCTTCAGTGAAATCACCGTCAAGTTCCGACTCCATCCTAATGTCTTCGGTAATTCGCCGACGAATGAATTATCGGAGAGATTCAAAACTTTGAGGTTCGAAAGCGCGCCAAAACTCGCCGGTAGTTCGCCGGAAATGTGATTATCGGACAGATCAAGAAATCGAAGCTCCGTCGCGTTGAGAAGCGAAACAGGGAAAGACCCATTGATCGAATTGTTGGAAAGATCAAGTCTTTGAAGTGAATTGAGTGAACCCAAATTCGAAGGAAGTGTACCGGTAAGGTTCGAGCTCGGAAGTGACAGAACAGTCACGTGCCGGGAAGATTCATCGCACGTGACACCTCGCCAAGAGCAAGGAGTCTCGTCTTCGAATCTCCAGCTCCTTAAAACGGAAAGAGGATCGTCGACGATTGAGTAACGGAAAGAGAGAAGAAGAACACCGTCTGTGTTAAGAGCAAGAGCTGATTGGTCGCAAAAGAGGAAGGACAAAACGGAAATTACAGAAAGATAACGGCGGAGATCGGCGGCGACTGTCGTCATCGTTCTTCAGGCTTACGCATCGATAGAGAACTAAAAGATTGGTTTTTTGAAAAGGCCATGTGATTGTGAGCGATATATCAAAGTGTTAATCTTTTTATGGAATTCTTGATTTTCGTAAAAATAATAAAATAATTTTGTAATTAAAAAATTCCATATCCTATGTAAATTGCACGGAATGTGATAACAAAAGTTAACACTATTTTCCTATTCGTAAATTATGCTGACGTCGCTTTGTCGTTTTTCACGTTTATATTCAACGTGGACCCTAATATGGTTCATCATTGTTTACATTGATCTTCAAAGAAAACGTAACAAAACCATATATAAATTTGGATGTTTACATAAATCTTTGCTAGATCACAGAAACTATATAATATATTATTTATATTATTCCTTTTTGATTGTGAAGAAAATTGTGACGTGAGATTACTCATATCGATCATGTGATGTGTGTGAAGAATTGTATTATTAGCCAATTAACTAATATCTTTGGAAACATGATCAGATGGGAGAATAGTATCTTTGCTATAAGACATTCACAAAAAGTTCGAAAATGTTGCAGGTCTCACACTGACTTGGATTTACTTATATATGACCGTTTTATTATTGTTTTCTCATCACACCTAATGTTTCCCTGATCATAGTACATCTTATAGATATAGGCTTATATATTAAACTAATCTAGTGATTCGTTATAATATTGACTTTATTTACTAGATATCCTTATCAAAATAAATAAATACATAGCATTACTAGATAAGCCTACTTTATTCAGAAATAATATTCGTTTCATGATCTAATCTCTGTTTTACATCATATACCAAAAAAAAATCAGAAGATTCTTTTTAATGAAGTGCAAGTAGACATTTAATGTCTTAGTTATAAGAAGAATTCGATTTGATTTATATTGGTAGAATCTTTATATATATAGTTTAACATGTATATGATAATAATCCCAATGGATCACGAGAGTTAGATTGATCCAAAGAGGAAATATCAAAAACACTAAACAGTTATGTGTTCCATCAAAAAGATATAAATGTAGTACTGCATCTACCTCGAGGTCAACATCACACGTAAAATAAATGCATGTCAAGATTAATGTACACCGGGTCAAATTGATTAAAATCGGTCCCCGTTTTAATTAAATTTTGTGGTCCTTGTTTCATATTATTTGATTGCCAAATCTCAAATTATTTATGTGTAATACTGTATATTTCACCGGTTTGGAATTTTTTGTTTTGTTTTTTACCACCATACGCGTCACGGTTTCTCAAACGATTAAGCAATCATGAGATGAACTTGGTTTACGTTAAAAAATATTCTGCAAACCAATGCAATCACTGGACCGAAACAATGATCCGAGTCGTAGCTAATTGACAAAGTTAAACTCTGAAAGTATCATATTACGACTAAACCTAAAACTAAAAAGAAAAACGACGAAACTCTATTTTTCAACAATATTTCGAATACAATCGAAAATTGAAATTAATAACACTATAAGGTTTTATTACTGTCTTTTATATATAAGATGGTTGTCTTGTGTATACATTCGGAAAGTATGGTTGATTAATACCAGAATATTGAAACCATTTATAACTGTTGCTATTAAAAAGTTAATTAACTAAACAAAAAATTAAATCCAAGTTTTTCTTCTGCGATGTGTGAAACAATAAAACGTTTGAGTGTCGTGTAGTCCAAGTTTCAGACGTTGAGCATATTAATTACCATATAGTAGTAGTACTACAGTATATAACAACGATTTCATATTGACCACTGTTCAATATTTTGCTCTCCTTCAAAATATTTGATATTTCTTAAATTTATTTTGCTATTATGAAATGAATAGCAGTATTGATGTTGTGTATGAACAATACCCATTAAATTGACTCATAGTTTAGTTTGACTGTAAATTGTCAGAGCACATTTACTTATAGTAGAAATTCATGCTACAAACTAGACAAGGTAGGTTTCGAGGTTCAGGTCACAAATTATTTACCATTTTTTTTTGTTTTATCTTTCTAAACGTAACCATTTAGGTATATTAGCCTGTAAACTTCAATACGAATATATACAAACTGTAACAATACATTATTAATTAGAGGATGGCTACAAGTTTGGCGGTGGACAAAGACGGGAGATGCATCAAAAATGGCGTTTTCTACTTACCATTATGCAAAACTCCAAACTTATTATCGTTTTGCAAAAGTTATAAACCAATCCTGAGTTCGACAATTTTTCAAACAGTGATAATATATATAATAATTACACAACACTGCGCATTGTCACTTGATCGGTCGGGTGTTTTTGGATATATTATATGATATCTGTTATGACTTTATACATTCTTTCTTTTCCTCCACAAAAATGATGATTTTTTGCCAAAAAAATAACGGTCAAGAAATTTGTTATAATTTCCTAGAGTATTTGATTATGCCAAAAATATTTAGATTGTTTGATTCTTTGAAGTGAACACGTCGAAGCCATTTCTGGTAGTAAGCTACTATCTAGTGGCTTTTAACAACGACGTATGATTAGAATGATTAAGTGAAATGGGTCGTGATTATTTAATTATTTTATGAGATTTTCAAAAGGCAAAAGCTTAGAACGACGTTTGCTTTGTTAATGATGTGACAGAAATTGTAAAGAGATATTTATTCTTCTTCTTTTACTAATCATATTTATTCCTATTTTATATAAAGTAATCATATTTATTCTAGGTTTATACTTTGTACTATAAAAAAAGAAGTAAAAATGATACTACTATAGAAGAAGTAACTAGAATATATTCATCAATCATCATAGTTATTACATTCTGGCGAGTAATAAATTTTGTAACATTTATTATTTAGCTTTTCAAAGAGGTAATGGTCTTGAAGATATATTTTAAAATCCCTTAAAAGACTTAAAGTAATACAGTATGTTTTTCCTTTTTATGGAACCTTTTAGAAAGATATAAAAGGAATTGGGCACAAAATTAAAAGCTCGAAAAGCTTCAAATATGAAAAAGCGAGTGAATAAAAATTTAGCAAATCACGTGTAAGAGGATTCGAGGGTTACTAAAAATAAGATAAGATACTTTTATGATGATGTTAATACTAAAATTTCAAAGATATTATTCTCATTGGATTGGTTTTGTGCGTCCCTTAACGGGTAAGCAAAAAGTAATGGGAAACCCATTGCAAATCAAAAAGCTTAATGGGTCAGTCAGTCCATTGTTTGGGCACAAGATGCTGTATTCTCCTTTTTCAACTTTGTAATATAGTATGAAATTAGGATGCTTATCTAGTTATCTACCAAGTACACAAATAGATCTAGAATTCTTTAAATAATTGGTGAGAAATCAACTTTAATACCACGACAAGCAAGCAGTGAATTAAGATCGAGTTTCTTTTAGCATTTTGAGTTTTCTTTTCGAGCATTTTGAGAAGATAACTTACATATTGGCTTTAGACCTAACCGGTTCGATTAAAATGCTCAACGATTACAAAATGCAATCACGTATATACCACATTAAAAGACTCCTCGTAATCACAATTCTGTTGGCTTAAACTTCAAAGAACACATCATGGAACAGATTTTTTCGCGATACTCTATGAACACACTATATACTATACTCTTCATCTTCGTTTGCTAAAGCGGGAAGGACTAAACCGGCTAAGATCAACACTGGTGGCTACGCCGTCTACAATAAGCTCAGCCAATGCAGCACCAGTGGCTGGACCATTAAGAATCCCCCAACAACTATGTCCTGTGCCTACATAACAGCCCTTGATTCCTGGAATCTCTCCGATCACAGGAACTCCATCTTCCGTGCTGGGCAAGAAACACGCTTGCTCTGCTTTCACTAGAGCGTTTTCTTCGTTTAGATAGCTCGAGACTGTTTTCGCGACTCTCTTGAGAACCTGGATCGATTCAGGATTGCTTGTGACCTGATCAGGATCATCAGGTACTTCTTCTTGTGATGACATTCCACATATGTACACTTCACCTGTCCAGAAAAAAAAAACAGCAAACCACTCAATTTCCTTTACTTGTATCAGAAAACCAGATTCCGTTAAAGTAAAATGGTTTCTTTCAACTTTAAATTCACAGATTCAACAGTCATCTCACTCTATGCCTCTCAAGCAAAAGCCTCACAGACTGGAGAGACTACAAAAGCAAAGTTCGCCATCCAAATATTGCCAAATAACCAAACTTTTACAGTGATCCTTGGAGAATAGAAGCAGCATTCTATAAGTAACTCACATAGAAGATCACACCAAAAACTGCTTTGCAAGTAATACAAAGATATTGAATTTTCAAAAGCAAAGACTCAAAATTTTCCTAGCTCAGATAGAAGATCACACGAAAGAACCGGAATTTCGCTAAATAATCAGACTTGTTTGCAGCAAATCCTTAGATACTGAGAGCACATGTTCAAATTTGAAGCTCACACAGTCACTCACACAGATAGCAAATCACAAGAAAGAAGCAAAGAGATTTTACCTGTGGGACGAGGGTATACTTCAGGGTCCAAAGCTTCACCACCATGAGCAGGACGATAAGTTAAGAAAAGGGCATGAGGTGTTATAGCATTTGGATCCTTGGGTTCCAAGACAATGCTATGAGCTTTAATACCATGAACCCTAAAAATCGAAGACAACAACTCAAATTTACTCGACCATGGACCCATCGCAAGAACCACCGCATCAGTGTCTATAACTCTCCCACCTTCAAGCACTACAGAGTCAACTCGTCCTGATTCCACTCTCACTTCTTCCAATTTCCCGATCACCAACTCCACACCGTACTTCTCCGTCGCCGTCGATAACAGCTTCCGAGTGAAAAGCTGAGGATGCACTTGTGCTGTTGTTTGAGTCGTACCAATCGTTGATGGGCTTTTAGCTGGGCCGTTGACCCAATCCGGTAAACCCAAACCGCCGGAACCGGGTTTTGATTCCGTCACGGTGAGGCTAAGAGTCGTGAGTGGTCTGTACCCGTACGATTCGACGCCGTTTAGCTCCTCGGAGAGTGATCGATGAAGGTTAAAGCTCGCGCGTGCTAAAGGACCAACAGGACTTCCAT